CACAGCAAAAAAAAAAACTTGGGACATGGAAATGAGCTGAAAACGTGAGACAGTCTTGAAATCATCCTTGATCTCGGTTCTGATCAGAGAGTCTTGGCTCAGTCTCACAATAAATAAAAAACCTCCAACAGTGAAATTTGTTTCTTAATTTTCAAATATGCTTTTCAACCCAGCAATGTACAAAATACCCAGTTGGTTCTGAGCAGTGTGAAGCCATTTACACCCCAGCAGATTGTGGAGTCTAATCCATTTCACCCCTTTCAGTGGACTCACTGTCAACTCCTGCAGTATGCCTCACTCCCTCAAACTCCCACTACCGTCTCTCATAACTACCGGCTAATTGCTTTCAGCGACACCGCGGCAAGGACATTATTCACATCATATCCATCAACAAAGGAAAGACAAATATTTCTCCTCACACCTCAACTCCTGTCGCCTCTTTTTTTTTTTTTTTTTTTTACACAAAATTAATTTTGTGTTTGGTACTCTGTAAAGACCTGTGACTCTCTTTAGAGTGATTCATTTGTACCACTCATTACTGGCTCACACTGATTATTAATGATATCAGACATCTGAAGTACAGTTTCGTGTGAACCTCTCTGAGTCAGTCCAACACCAGAGCTGTGCGTAGGGCTGTGCGATGAGTCAAAGCCAGGACGAAGCAAAGAAGAGTCATAACTGAATGCTTTTCAAGCAAACGTGATCACAATAGTGAAACGGGAATGCTTAGCCAATCTGTGAAGTTAACCACCAAGGCTGCATTGCACCAACTTTTAAAGAGTCTTCAGGCTAACAACACACTATACAACCACAACAGCAGGCAACTGCCTAAAAGCCCCAGGCTTGCTGTGTGCCAACTGGTTTTTGCTAATCTAATAATAGGGGGGATAAGTACCATTAAAGCAAAATTTCATCTGACATGGTGAGGGCATAAATCTGCATTAATTGATTTTTGTCAGCTTGGGGGCAGCACAGCCAGCTGCAAAATCAACCGTAGCATATTATCACCATATAATTTTGCTATGGCTAACATGTGACTGTACTGTAGCTTAATTTCAATCATTGGCAAGCTATTTTATTTCACACAAAAGCTCCAAAATGTACAAGCGGGATGTTATTAAAAGATTTATTTCATCAAACAAAATGAAACTGTCAGGCATGGCAGCTGTATTTACATAGGACCTCTCAAACACAGAGGCAAAGAAAAGCAATAGAATGACTTTACGGAATATAAAAAACAACAAGTAGGAAAAACAGCCTTTTCCCTTTGTTTTGACTTCTTATTGAGAAATCTAATAAGCAGTTTCAAATGTGAATGTCTGTCAGCCTCTGTGTCGACTCCGAGCAGCAAAGCAGCTGCATTTTTCACACACTGAGCACACAGTTCTCACTGAATGATGCAGCAGCAGACTCTTTGACCAAACAATGACAATGTCTGAATTTATACGCAAAACCGTCAGAGGACCACAAGCACAAAGAGTATTTTTCTATTCATGCCTAAACTGGTGGGTACAACCATTTTTGTTAGTTTGTTCTTTTTGCCTCTCACTAGCTGTGTTTTGGTGAAATCAACGTGTTTTCAACCTGTGTTCATAAGCTCTATAAATAATACATTCTCCTTGACTTGAGTTGACCCATGTGTTCTTGAAGTCGAGCACTCTGCACATTGACCTTGGCACCAAACCATGAAAGGTCCTTCGATTTTGAGGAGTCCTCCCTTGCCATCCTGTTCCACTCTCAGCATTTTTCTTAAATCTTGACAAATTGCCCCCTAAAGGAGCAAGGAAGTCATCAACGCTTAAGTGGTTCTTCTCATCATAAAAACACCGGAACAGAAAACGGTTCATTCGGGGTGCAGAGGGAAGCGACTGTCAGACTTTCTTTGTCAAAAGCTGCTGTCTTCAGCTCTGCAGTAATTTTCTGTCTGCCACAGTCACCAAGTCAACTAGTTTGATGCCGTGGAAACAGTCGGCCACGGTGAACGTCACTGAAATGTCAGATTCTTCAGTTTTATGCTGATCACTCATCACTATGTTACTTCATTTGTGCGCCTAAAAATGGTAAAACATCCCAAAGACCCTGAAAGCTCACTGTGTTGTATTAAAATTACAACATTATGGTTATATAAATGTTTTTCCTTTTCTGGGTTCAAATTCAAATCAGCTCTAACAGCACAAGAGTAGCTTTCTTATACTGCCAAAGCAATGGGAAAAAGCTCTAAAACTGCCTCTGTGAGCTGAACAAAATGAATATAAAATAGCAGGTCATGCCTGTGTAATTACTTTTTTTATAGCTTGAGTACCTTAGGTTCCCTCAGGTTTTGGTATACATTCAAATATTCTGCTGCACAAAATGTATTATCTGTCTTCTCTACAGAGAGTCTCAGGTACTATTACTTAAGTATAATTTTGGGGTACTTAACTGTACTGTGTCCATTTTATGTTACATTATACTACAATAAAATATTGTGCTTTTTACTGCTGATAATACTTCTGTGTTGTAGGTTGGGATGACGGTAGCATGGAGAAAGGTTAGGTGACGCTTGTATCAAGGCTTCAGGAAAAACAGGTAACCATATATTTGCAATCTCCAAAAATAACTAAGAAAAAAACAGGGAGGGAAAAAAACACCTTATCAAATGAGGAACACTGTATTCATGCTGCTCCATCAGGCTCCATTGTACTTACACATAATTGTACTATATTTGTATATTTGAGAGCCTGCTTTCCCAGCTTAAACTATTAGGTAAAACTTGTGTACTTAAATTTAAGTAATTTGTTTTACCTTGTGGAACTACCACCACTGTCAGACTCTATTTAGGGGTTGCCCAGTTGTCCTCCCTATACTGTGCTCACATTATCTTCAAATGTGTGATCTCTAGTCATAGCCAAATAAAGTTCCAATTAACTTCGTGTTTTGGCTGTATTTTCCCAACAACTTTTTCATTGTTAGTAACTCTCTTCATTCTGTCTAGGACGCAGGTTTTGTTAATAAATTGAAACTCAGGACTTTCCTCTGTAGTTACTTGTACGACTCTTATATCATTTGCCAGCCACAAAGCCTTTGCTAGCAGATGTACAAATTTCCACACATTTGAGGCGTTCTTATCTTGCTCTGTCCTTACAGTCATTCACAGCCAAATTAAAACTCGGATTTTGTGTCTTCCTGATTCCCATCAACTCAGAACAATGTCATTGTCATCTTTTGAGGTTTATTGCTGATCCAGGAGCTGCTGCCGTTGCCTACTTTTGATTGGAATAGCAGAACCAACTCATCAGCACACAGGAAGCATTTGATCTCAAGTCCTCTGGCGTTTTGCTTATTCATTTGGATAAATATTGTGTAGTCAAAGGGGGAACTTAGTCTACAGCCTATGAATCATGATAAGAGGTTCAGTTTTTTCTTTCTGTCATTTTTGGACATTGTGTTCCTTCCAATACTGCTGTTCAGGAATATAGCAAGAGTTTATTATGGCACATTGAGCTTCATGCCAGCAAAAAAATAGAACAAAGTTTGTATTTATTATGTTTTCCTAGGAGTATAGATGTGACACAGGTGAAACTGTGGCTGTTTTCAGTTCAGGGAGTGTTTCATTTTTAAATGCATGAAAAGCTGGAGTTGGTTGTGGAGTGCTAAACGTCTACCCGGTTTGCTGCTGACACATGCATCTGCAGGTGTTCAGGTCATATTTCTTCCCATTCATGAAAGATTTGATGCAATTACCTTTAAATACAGGTGTGAAAAGCTACACTCCCAGCTGCAGCCTGCAATAGCTTGCGTGTTGCTGTCACTCGCTCTCATTGTCTCTTGCTCGCACACAGTCACACAGAAACAACCATACAACCATCCACTCGCTCTCCCTGTCCGTCAGCCGCACAGCCACTGTCGTCATGACAACAGAGAGGCTAATCTCCAGTGGACAGAGAGAGCGAGAAAGTGCACAGAAGCGTGTTTCTGAGAGGCGAGGAGCAAGTGTGTGTGTGATTAAGTAGTGCAGTGCAGTGCATGCTTGCATATTTCTAATTATGTGCGTGTTTAGGGAAATATATATTAAGCATGCACTTCTGTGTGTGTGTGTGTGTGTGTGTGTGTGTGTGTGTAAAAGCATGCTTGTGAGAGCACAGATGTGTGTGCATCCCACCTCAATTTAAAGACATTACTGGTGATTACATTTGTCTTAAGAGGAATCATCACTGAAGCAGAATGCTCTTCTTTTTTTTTTAAATGTCTCCATGATACAAACATTTCTTTGTATCTCTTTCACTCTCATCCTTTACATTCCTCTACTCCATCCCTCTTCCAACCATTAAATCCATCACTTTAATCCATTTTTCCTTTTCCTGACCTTCATCGTTCTCAAAAACGTGTTGACTCCATTTGCCTTAAAACTCCTAAATGTATCCCTTCTTCTTTTGTTTTTCTTTCAATATCATTCATCCGTCCGACTCCTAAAGTCAGCCTAAATCATCTTTCCATCTCTCGCCATCTCGTCTTTTCCCCTCATCTGTCTCTGACACACCCCTTTCCTCCCTCTAACAATTCCTAAACATCCCAGTCATCCTCTCTCTGGCATTCTTCCCGTCAGTCTTTTCAGCCTTTGGAGCGGCTTCTGCCTGACTCATCCTTTCTCTTTCACTCTCTCTCACACACACACTCCCTTCATCCCTCCTCTAATTCCTAAATCCATCCCTATTTCTCTATCCGCTTCTCAGCTTTCCTGCTCCCTGAGGTCCTTCCCTTTTCCTCACACAAAGACACACACAGTGGCAATCCCAGTTTCTCACATTCCTAAATCCTGAAATGCTTGCTGGCCTAGCAGGGATCACACACTCGCACACACACATATGTTACGGCTGATTAAGCTGGCAGAGCCACAGGGCAGTCAGCCCACTGGAGGGGATGATGGAGGGATGGATAGAGAGGTGGGAAGTGCAGAGAGAGAGATGGATGGAGGGGAATATTTTGGGGGTGGAAGAAAAGACAATGATTGATGGGGAGATGAATGTCAGTGGTGGTTTTAGATGCTGTTTTCATTGGAAAACAATAACCCTCTTCCTATACACCTCAGTGGGCTATTGCATTATAACGTGAAGCGCGGGCATGTGCGCGTCCAGATGTGAATTCGGGGCTGAAGTTGTCATCCGGTAGAGGGCGGAGTGAGAGAGAGAAAGTGAAGAGTGGGCAAGCTGGAGCTGCAGAGGGCTAGAGCTGCGGAAAGGAGCGGACATGGGCTGCAGCGGATGCCGGGTACCTGCAGCCTGAGTGCGGGCGGGATGAGAGTCGGGAGTCGGGGGTCCTCCGGTTGGCTGAAAGGTTTATATTAGCTCGAGTCGTGGTTTGAGAGAATAGTCTGGTGTCCGGTGCGCGCCCTCCCACCCACACACACACACGCACTCACGCACTCACTCACTCACTCACTCACACGTCTTAAGAACAGCGGGAGATGCATTACGTCATAGCCTCCCGTCGCCCTAGATGACCGCGCGCGCAGGACGGGATGATGCAGGGCTGCTGGACTAGAACAGGAACGGATTCCGCTGCTGCTGCTGCTGCTGCTGCTGCTGCTGCTGCTACTCGGGAGCTCCCGGTGGCGCTGACTCGACCTGACGAGGAAGAAGGGGAGCCGCCGTCGCGCGGCCGCCGGCTCTGATGGCTCCTCGCACCCCGGGCGGGAAAGAGACACAGCAGTCGCCGCGGCGCGAGAGGGAAGGGGGCAGCAGGAATCTGGGAAGTGACGTGGTATCCGCGCCCCGCGAGAAAGCACAACGGTGCGGTTGTCGTGCGTTTCGCAGGAGGGCAGGAGCGGCAAGGGGAACATGGCCGCGCAGTCGGACGGCTGCAAAGCCGGGGTCGGGTACGGCAGCGGCGGGTTCGCCCAGCTGTACGATGTTGATGCCGAGGAGCCGCTGGACTCCGCCGCCATCCACATCTGTCAGTGCTGCCGCACCTCCGCTTGCTACTGGGGCTGCCGCTCAGCCTGCCTCGGTTCCCTGCTCGGTGGGGGCCAGCCTGCCGGAGGGGTCGGCATCCGGGAGACTCACTGCCCGCCTCGGGAGCAGCTGTGGCTGGACTGCCTCTGGATCATCCTCGCCCTCCTTGTCTTCTTCTGGGACGTTGGGACGGACCTGTGCCTGGCGGTGGACTACTATCGCAGGCAGGACTACCTCTGGTTCGGCCTCACTCTCTTCTTCGTACTGGTGCCGTCGGTGCTGGTCCAAATACTGAGTTTCCGCTGGTTCGTGCAGGATTCCACCGGCGGGGGGCTCGGGGAGGTGGAGGGGCTGACCAAGCGGGGCGCAGTGGCTCTGGGGTGCCTATATCCCGGCAGGGACCGCCTGCAGCTGGCCACTATCTGGCTGTGGCAGGCCACCATACACATCCTCCAGCTGGGACAAGTGTGGAGGTATGGGGGGGGGGGGGGGAATACAAACAACAAACCACACCTGATCATAACCTGTCACCACAGTCCCTCCCTTTATCTCTCTCTACACTTAATGTTGCTGTTGGGTGGAGTGGGGTGTCTACTCGATGTAGCTCAAAGAAAGCAAAGCTTGCTTCACACTGACAGGCGGGAGAGGAAGAGCAAGAGGAGGACAGGGAGAGGCTCTCTGTGACCTGAACTTACTATCTGGGAATGACAGACAGAAAGTCTATTAAGAGAGACAGCGCGTGGGGGTTGGGGGGGGGGGGGGGGGGCAGTGATCCCACTCTGTGAGCTACTGTAACGTCTTTGACTTTCTTTTTCTGTTTTGGGTCACCTTATGAAAAGTTAATTCAGCAACCCATGCTGCACACTCTCCAGGTCACAAGTCACTAACACTATCTACTACAACTGTAGTAATTACTACAGTGAGCATTTACACACTCTCTAGTACCGCTTATATATGAATGTGTTTTTCGGATCTGACGCTGTCCATGGTGCTGAACACAGTTCCAGGACCACGGACAATGTCTCAGTCAGGGTTCACTTGTGGGGTCCGACCAGCTTTGTGGGGCCAAAATGCTCGAGTTTAAAGAAGTTTAAGGCTGTTTGAGGGTTCAGGTTAGGTTAAGGTTGTGATGGATAAGGTTAGGATAAGGGGCAAGGGAATGCATTATGTCAATGAGATGCCCCACGGAGCTTGAGGAACAAACGTATGTGTGTGTGTGTACATTCTTGCGTGTTTGTGCGCGTGTGTGCGTGTTAGCGTGTGTGACCAGTGGAAAAACGGTGTCACGGCTCTTCCCATGAGTGTCAGCATGCATGGAGAGTACAAAGAGGAGAAGCATCTGTGCTTCTGGCAACACAGCTCTCTCTCTACCTCACTCACTATCTCTCTCTCACACACACGCACACACACACACACAAGTCTACGCATTGAGTTGGAGAAGGGTAAAGTGCTAATTGTAGTGTTAAAAGCACTGACGGGGGGGGAAAAAACACACAACAAAAACACAAAAACACAGCCTTTTTGCTCGTACACACACATACACACACGCACACACATACGCACATGTCTTTCTGTTGCAACTGTAGGTTCTTTGCTCTTCTTGCTCACTTGTGTTATTTACTTGTGTGTGTGTGTGTGTGCGCGTGTGCATCTGTGTGAAGCTTTGACAGCAGTAGCAGTAGTAGCAGGAGTGTGCTAACTTGTCTCCAACATCCTAGCCCTCTATACAAGGACACAGTGCTCACTCTCACTTCCTCCCCTCCTCGCTTTCTCCGAGAAGACTCCTTAATGGTGTCCACTTGCCTCTGGGCTGGCAGCAGGGAGAGTAGAGTGATGAGTGTGTGTGTGTGTGTGTGTGTGTGTGTGTGTGTGTGTTTACACTCACTTGTGCTACTCAGCTCAGCTTCGGTCTCTGTGTGGTTGTAGGGTTAACTTCACCCTCCCCCTTCACACACACACACACACACACACATCCCTCCTCCACCCTCATTCACTCCACCCAGAAATCACCCCCTCAGCTTGCAGAATGGACTCTCCCACCTGGAGTAAGTGGAGGAGCAGGAGAAGGAGGAAGAAGAAGACGAAGAAGGGGAGGGTGTGGGGTTGTTTTGTAGCTGAGGAAATGCTACGGCCTGATTGAGACAGATAGCTTAGAGATGGAGAGGCTGTGGAGAGGCAGAAAAGGCTGCACATGCACAATAGGCATAAAAAAGGGGGGAGGGGAGTGGAAAGAGAGTGAGAGGGAAACGGAGGAGCTGGAGTGGTGGGGGTAGGGTGGAGATGTGGAAGATCTACTGCATTCAGAACATATGGTTGAAACCACATCCCTCCATATTAAAGCGTTAAGTGCCTGTTAGGCTCCCCTGCCAGTAAAGCCTCAATCCTTCCTCTGAACATAAATATAAAGACTATTAGTTATTTATCCTTCTTTGTTCTTGAGTCAAGGACAAACAGCATCTGGGCGTTTGTATGTTATTTTAAAGCTGCATAATCTATTAATCCAGCTTTAAATGGCTTGTTTAGAAGCATTAAACATGTATGAAGAACAGGATGATAAGTGTAGGTCGGGATATGTAGGCTGGCCGTCACCCTGTCAATAAAAAACACAGGAAGTCAAGAAGGATAACTTTCTCTCTTTAGTGCAAATTCAGTCACATACAGCATAACAAATTATGCCTAGAGTAAGCATGTGTATCATCTGTACAGGAGGGAAATATGAAAAAAACACATTCACAATGCAGTGGAAGTCTAGAAATTGCTTTCTGTAAATAGGTGGTGTACTAATGCCTGAGAAGTAAACGCTTAACATGAAGCAAAAGGGACCTTCGGATGAGCAAAGCACATTCAACACTGTCCACAATAAACCTCTAAATCTATTGAAAACTAATCACTATGGCACAGATGACAGCAGCATAACCACTAACAGGATTGCATAACATGTAATTCTGGTAAGGCAATAGGATGTGTGTTAAACTGGCAATATAACTGAACAATGGCAGCAAGCTAAGCGTTTTAACTTCAAACTTACTATCAGTGCTGGAAGAAGTACTCAAAACCTCGTAAGTAAGCGCATCAACTTATTAACATGAAAATGTACTTAAAGTACCAAAAGTAACAGTGCTCATTATGCAGAATGACCCATTTCAGAATCATGTACAGTATATTGTATTATTTGATTATAAATGATGTGTAAGATTAATTTAATGTTGTTTCAGCTACATTATACTGCTGGGGGGTGTAGCTTACATTATTACGGAAGCCTTAAGCGGCCATCGATTCAAATATTTTTTTTACTCCATTTTTCCCATGATAATGTACATTACTCTATATCTGCAAAGTAACAAGTAGCTAAAGTGCAACATTTCTCTGAAATGTAGTGGAGTAGAAGTATAAGGTAGAATAAAATGGAAATACTTGAGTACAAGCACCTCAAAATTGTACATGACTACAGTACTAGGGTAAATGTACTTACTTACTTACCACTGCTGCTTACTGTGTGGTCAGAACACACAGAGAGGAGAGTCACATGCAATGTATGTGAAGCATAATGCAGTCCACATTGGATTCGTCAGGCCTACCTTCTTACTGTGCCACTACATTGTGAGTTAGCCAAAGGGCTCCCGTCGCTGGCAGCTTAAGTGCCTGTACATGCCCAGCCTTTTGCATCAAGCCAGACTTACAAATGTAGGCACTCTCCTATGGATGGTGCATTATTTATGTTTTGTGAATGTAGGAGCACATGCACACACAAACACACACACACGCAATGACACTCAGGCACATACAGTAGTAATGGACACACAGGGAAGCAGGAGGATTTCACACGTGTACATATACACATATATGCGTCCGCACACACCTACACACTGTGAGTGGCCTGAGACAATTTTAATTGAAATCTCTGCCTACATACCACCCACATGTACTGCAGCCTCCCAGAGCTAGAAATCTACTCAGTATGTATGGATCTAAATATTTTCATGGCTGTTTGTTCACAGAGGGGTTTTATCAACGATCAGAACGTGATAATTTTTAAATCAGACGATTAGCAAACATGGACATCCTGAAGAGGATGGTGCAGATTTGGCTACAATTAAACATTAAACGTTGTACTCCAATGATTTCATTTTGCATTTCCACAAAGTTTGGGGACTTGAGAGTGACATATTTAAAAGAGTCCCTAGTGTGGGTCAAGCTCCAGAAACAGTAGATATTAAGTTTCTCATATTGCAACACAATAGCACCTTAATGCACCTTATGGTATACACATAATTTGATAGCACATTGTAACTTCTGACTTGGATGACATAAATAAATTTCCAAGTAGAACGTTTGTTTTTGCTGAAAGGTTGAAATGGTTTACAGTACCTTTGTTATTAATTAGCACTCCTACCCCCTGCAGGTACATCAGGACACTGTACCTGGGCATCATGTCGCGTCGGCAGAAGGAGCATCAGAGGCGCTGGTACTGGGCCATGATGTTCGAGTACGCAGACGTCAACATGCTGCGGCTGCTGGAGACCTTCCTGGAGTCTGCGCCTCAGCTGGTCCTGCAGCTCTGCATCATGATCCGGGAGAACCGAGCCGAGACGCTGCAGTGTAGGTGGAGCACAGATTACACCGGAGAGACGAAGTTGCGTTCCTCAGACTGCAGCGCGGGGTGTCTGAATAGCCAGGCTCTAGCTACATAAACACTATTCCTGTCACATTTACAAACATAACACCATGTTTTCGTGTATCCCACAAAGAACATACAAATCAACAGCTGCACAAGCAGTAATTAGCAATTTGCACACATGCTCAGTAATTTGTGGCTGCAGATGGTGTTGCTTTTGGATTTTCTCGCTATGTTTTTTGTTCAGGTAGTCCCAGAAAAAAAAAGCGCAGTCACAAGTGTTCGGGGGATGTGCTAGCCAAACTTCATCAGCCTCCTCTTCCTTATTCATCCGGGATATGTATCATCTAGGCGGCCACCCACTGGTGTTATTCATCCCTATCACTCTGGAGTTTTGGGACACCTTCTACTTAAATGCAAATATGTGACTAGTACAGGGGGTAGATGCACACAGCAGCTGGGACATTAAAAATAACTTTATATTTCAGACTCATACTGTTAAGCGTCATTACCAAATGTCTCTGTCGTGTCACACAGTGCTTCTTATTTAAGGCCCACATTATTACACATTAAAACACCCCCAGTGACTCATAATAATTTTGTGTCTATGTATGTTTTGTGTCACGAACCTGAAAATCTTGATTCTGTTTGTTCTGATCATCCACCTACTCTATCTTCTTTTGTAACCCTCCTCTGTGTCTCTGTAGGCATCTCCTCCCTGGGCTCCCTCTTGTCTCTCGCCTGGGTTCTGGCCTCCTACCACAAACTGCTGCGAGATTCTCGTGATGACCAGCGCAGCATGAGCTACCGCGGGGCGCTGCTGCACCTCTTCTGGCGCCTCTTCACCATCTCGTCCCGCGTCCTCTCACTTGCCCTCTTTGCCTCCCTCTTCCACATCTACTTCGGCATCTTTGTAGTTCTCCACTGGTGCGCCATGGCCTTCTGGGTCGTGCACGGAGGCACCGACTTCTGTATGTCCAAGTGGGAGGAGGTGCTCTTCAATATGGTGGTTGGCATCGTCTACATCTTCTGCTGGTTTAACGTGAAGGAGGGCCGGACGCGCTACAGAATGGTGGCATACTACATTGTGGTGTTGGCCGAGAACACCATCCTCACAGGGTTGTGGTGAGTTAGATGTAGAAACAATTGTGTCATTTGTATTTCCTTCCACACTTCATATGGAAAACTCTAATAGCATGCAATGTTGTCACCTATGCTGATATAACCTCGAAATGTTGTTTTAGGTGGTTTCTTATCCAGGGAAGTGTTTATTTATAAAATAGTTAATCATTTTGCTCCACTGTACTTAACAAGCCTTTTAACCTCCCATGCTCCTACTAAGTAGTAATGAAACACAGCCTTCAGCACATCCCAGCCTCCTACACACATTTGAAAACCTACTTTTAATGGATAAGTCTGGTGATATTCTAAATTTTTCTTCCTTTCAACAAATACCATAAAAAGACCCAAAATAACAATTTATCGTGTGTGTATCAAAGCCTAATATATATTTTCCTCTGCGCCACAGAGCTCCATTGTTGTCCAAAAACGATTAAAAACACACCAACGAGCTTCACTGTTGCAATGGGTGACATGTTCCGTCATTACCGTGAACACACACTGTAGTTTATTTTGACTCAATCCTACAAACACTGTCCTGCTGCTGTAAATACTCACTAGAGCACCAAATGTGGAGCAATACTGAAATGAGCTGCTGAAAATAGTCCCCAACAAATACACAGTTTACTCCTGTAAAGTTTGCTAAAAACTACAGTGCCCAGCTGTTTTAGGGTATTATTAAGCCCTTTCTTCTAAAGATTAATGTCATCAGCAGGAATTGCACATGCAGACACACTCACATGAATTTAACCATGTGCTGCCGCCATCCTGCAGGTACGCCTACAGGGACCCAGTGTTGACTGACTCCTACGCCGTCCCAGCGCTGTGTAGCGTCTACCTGACGTTCGCCGGCGGCGTCGTGGTCATGCTGTTGTACTACGGCTTTCTGCACCCTGCTACCATCCACCTCCAGCCAAGCCCCGCATCGTCCTGCTGCGCCCAGCTTCTTTGGGGTCTGCCCCTTCCCCCATCAGCCCCGCCCACCGCCCCACCCACCCCGGCCCACATGACCAAATCACAGACGGAAGAGGATGTGGCCGAGACGTGCCTTCCCGTCTTCCAGGTGAGGTCGGCGCCCCCCACCTCCAAGCCCGAGGGCCCACTCATAAAAATTGACATGCCCAGGAAACGTTACCCAGCATGGGATGCCCACTACGTAGACAGGCGCCTGCGGAGGACTATAAACATCCTGCAGTACATAACGCCAGCCGCCGTGGGCATCCGCTACCGTGACGGACCCCTGCTGTATGAACTGTTGCAGTATGAGTCCTCACTCTGACACACACACACGTCAAGAAACACACATCAGTACACATAAGCACATACGCACCATGAAAACACATGTATGTATACATGAGTGTTCAGATTCAGAGAAGATTTAGAAGCACTCTCCACACGCACAACGTCGCACTTGATGTAAGCACACAGATTCAAAAGCAATCTGTCACACTTTAATGCGCCCACACACTCACAAACAAACGCACACATTCCTTGCGGGCACCTACGACCTGCGAGTCCCATGGCCATGACTCAACAAGCTGCTTCAGCGCGAGTCCGTCTCTTTCTCTCTTTATCCTTCTGTGTCTCTATTTCCAGCTCATATGATCACCCTTCATCTGTTCTCACTGATTTAATTTCACACATCCGCGCTCCGCTGTGAAGAAAAAACAAAACAGTCAAAAATGAGCGCCAGAGTCTTTGACCACCGCATGCCGTTTGCGTTGCGTCTCTCATACTTTCACGGGTTTCTGTAGAATAAAAACATGTGACACAAAGAAAGAACAAACGTCACTTTTAATAAAAGGAGTTTATGAACATGTCGTCGTTAGTCTAGTCAAAAGATAGTGTATATATTTTCTATGTACAGAAGGGTTATTTTTTATGTACCGTTACGTTGTTGTCGACTGGGGATAAAGTAGTTGGACACTGCTGGGGTTACCTGGGAGAGAAGCAAAGCGTGATGGGAATGATGGAGACAAAGAGGGTATTAGCATCTACTGCGCACTCAAACAAACTGAGAAACTTCAGAGTTTGCACTACTGTCTCTTGCAGCAATAGTTTGGACATTTTGGGAAATAAACATTTTTATGCCAGAGTTAGTTGAGTGGATCAATACCACTCCCATGTGTATACACAAATAATGAAACTAAAGCCAGGGGACAATTAGCTTAGCTTAGCATAAAAACTGAAAGCTGGTAGAAGCAGTTAGTCTAGTTATGTTCAAAGTTAAAGACCTTTCCCTACCAGAACCTCTGAAGCTCATAAATTAGCATGTTGTGGCTACTTTTTGACATGTCGCAGTGACTCCCTGGAGTCTTGCCCAGCCAAAAAATAGTTACAGTAAATAGCTTCAAATTTAGAGGTGTTAGCATAGCCGAATTTTTAAACTTTGGAAACTTTATGATAATCTAGCACAAATGTCTGCTGGTTGTAGCTTCACACTTAAAGGAAAAAAGTTAAATAGTAGTATCAATCTTGACCTAAACCAGAGAAAAGGCACATTTCCCAAAATATCAAACACTAAATACACTACATTGAGCGACAGTTAGCAACATTAGCTCTAAAAGTAAAAGGCTGCAGCAGCTCAAGAACTCTATTACAATGTCTTGTTCTTGTTCCTGAATGGCTGGCAATGTGAAACTATGTACAACAAAACATTTACTGTGCCAAAATCACTGTGTCGTGGAAGAATATGTGGTTTCATGCCTGAAATAGTTTAAAAACGAAACTGGCGTCGGCTTTGCTGGATTAGATCATAGACTGCATATAAAGACGAATCCCCACCTCCTTCTGTACAACAATTAGGCCAAAATATTGCTGATATACTAGGTGCTGCCAGCTTGCACTGATGACATCATTTGAAGCGAGAGGGGTTGGAGCCACAGTATCAAGGCCCCGCCCATACACCCGGGCTGACTCAATCGCGAGTTGGGCTGTCATGACATGAAACCCCCTTTTTTAGCATCAAATGTTAATTAATTTAAATAAAATAAATTAAATTAATTAAGCCAAACTTATCAGACAAAATTACCACTTTAACATACATCAGTGGGGTAAGCATGTCCCCTTTGCTAACATGGAGGGGGCAGGGTTTTCGACTGCAGCGAGCCACCAGGGGCCTTCACTTTTGCGGAGCTGTCATGTCGTCCATCTTTATATACAGTGTATGAGTTAGACAGCTGAGAAAATAGCAAGAAATAAAGTTTTAAACATTACGAATCTAGAGGCCATATACTAAAAAACAAATGTTTTTATTGGCCTGTCTGTTGTAGTCACCTTTTCTCACTCAGCATCTTGTATGCTAAGGTGTTAACATGGAGCTAGAGCTAAAGACCTGCTGTGGACAGATGGATCACTAGTTAATAGTCAGTGTGTAATGTGCCACTAGTCAATGTGCCAATCTCCCGAAAACCCTTTAATACTTATTCTTAAAAACTTACCAGTGTAGACTAATCCATGGTTCTGAGACCTGAAGTATAAAAGCAGGCCATTAAACATTAAAAATACCAGACCAGAGATTTTAAATTAGTCAAACAGAGAAGAATCAAAAACAACAGTAGCACCATCATCTTACATATAAACGTCCATGTTAGCAGAAGAAGCGTTAGTGCCTGCTGATGTTTTTAGTCTTACTAATGTATGGTTAAATTATATATCATCGTTACACCACAACTCATAGAGAACAGGAAGGAACATAAGGCAGTGTTTTGTGAGTGTGTATGTCGTCTGGAGGGGTCAAGTAGTTGTTCTCCATCGTTTGCTGTTATGCTTAGAGGGGTCGTGGGAGGTTAGATTTTCTTCAGTTATTCCGTCCACGGTTGCAAATGGTTGCGTCGGTTAACCTTGCTAGACGATGAAATAAAATCATCAAGTCATCTCCAAATTTTCAGCAGAGAGATCAAATGCAAGACTAATTATTTTTGATCTATGTCTACCAGCAGTTACCAGTGTGTGATGTCTTAATCATATTGTCCCACACTAACAGGGTGCTGCCACTGAAGCTGATATGAAACAGTTTTGGACTTCAGTCGTCACAACCCTCTCGATGACTTGTCTACTCCTGTAAAGCGTCCAATATCAACTCCTCCAAAGCCACCCACGGCTGAGCTGTGATGTATGGCTCATTATTTATTTTTTTGGTGTGTTTATCCCTGTAATCCAAGCTGTTACATTGGCAGGCGACAACAAATGAGCCAAGATATCAGTCATCAGCCCGTCGACAGGAAAGTTGCATCTGAATCACACGCTGTGGGAGGGGCGCCCAAACACCGCGTGGCGGCGAGTACACATGAGGGTTTGGAAAGTGGTGAAAGTGTATTTGCCATCCAAAGCTCCGCACTTTATCTCCAGTCCCACGTCAGTGGTAGAACAGGTGAATCTCAGCTATGAGCCATTTCAGATGGTGCAACTAGAAAAGATGAACACACACATGCTTCTTATTATTGCTGTTGTCCAAGAGGATCGAGCAGGTGATAGTGAAAGATATTGGGAGTGCATAAAGAGTGTTAAAAGGGATACTTTAACATTTTTTGAGGGGATTTCTAAACTCATATGTTTCTTCTCTAGGCGTGTCAAATTGTTAAAAATATTAACATATCTTTTTAGTGACTGAAACAATTACTTGATTAGCTGATTAATAGAAAGCTACTTGACAACAATTGGATTGATTAAGTCAGTAATCAAATAAATGCCATTTTCCAGCTTCTCAAGAATGAGATTTGGACCAGTGGTTCCCAATCTGTTTGGCTTGTGACCCCTTAAAGGAGCACTCCACCGATTTAGCATTGCACACCTATAACATTGTCAGACTCACAATGGACAGTTAAAAAAAACCAAACACAGCTCAACGACCAACAGTTCGGACAGAGAGTTGAGTGTGTTATGTTAGCGGTAGCTAATGTAGCTTCAAGCTGTTAGACTCAAGCAGAGATGTGGAGCCGGCTACAGATGTCTGGAAACCTCCCTTCTCTCTAACTCCACACCCCAAGATAAGTACTTGTAGTATTCAGCCCCAACTGATACTGACTTCAGTAGTACTCCCCAAGACCTGATAAGTGTAATAGCAAAGAAAAGTCAACTTGTCGCGACCTGTCAGCACTGGTTAGGACCAGTACAACCAATAGGTTATTTTGTCTGTGTGTTTTTGTTTTATCTGATTAATTTTCAGAGGTCTGAAGAGATACAATTATTCAAGAATTTACAAAAGAGCAAATCCCCTAAGATTTATCTTGCGACCCTTAGTGGGGTCCCCACCCCCAGGTTGGGAACCACTGTTGAAGACTAAATGATCCATCAGTTAATCTAAAAATAATTATAACAGATTAATACATCATTAAAATGATATTATTATTATTTTACAGCCAAATGAGGCAGGTGAAAAAAAGACTATGATCAAAAATGTTGACATATCCCTTTACGTTTGAACAATGTGAACAAAAAGTGAGCTTACTTTACTTTTCTGTGGTGCTAGTAGATTAAATACAAATCAGTTAATTTGCTACTGCTTCAAATTAGCAAAAGATTCATTAGGTGCGATCGCGTTACAGAAGCAGCAGCATCGGTTCATATGGTGCAACACACTCAAGCTACAGAGTCAATTGGCTGCTAATCCCACTTCATATGGTGCAAGTATGAAACACACATGTACTTATGGTGCAATAAGGGCAGATTGTCTCTTTGAAATCTATGGTGCAACTTCAGTACTGCCTTCAGTTATCGGCCAAGGCTGTGCCAAAGGCTCCGTCCAAATGGACAACTGCTCTTCCTGTCCTGCAGAAGCTATGCAAGTCTCCAACGCAGGGAGATGTGCTTAGTGTACACGCTCACACACACACACACACACACACACACACACACACACACACACACACATACATACACATACATACAGGGTTTTCCTCCACACGCAGGGAGATATGCTTAGCACAAACATGCAGACACACAGGGAAAAGTAGTGTAACAACATGGGATGTATCCCTACCTCACCGCTTGAACACACATAAACACACACGCACACACTAACGTCCAATAATCCCTTACCCCTTTATAATTTGGGAACAATATTCATATGGTGCTATTGAGTAAAGCTGGGTGGTTTTTGTATAGTTGTGGTTACAGAGGAATGAAGAATTTGGCCAAGTATGTTGATTGTTTCACATTCAGATCGTTTGAATAATGTAATTCACTCAATCTGGGTTTCCTCGTGGACAGAGTGTACATAAAAACAGCAACACCTTCTGCCTCTGTGAAAACTGAGTGACACATAAAAGCTGCAATGCCTTATTCACTCGACAGAAGTGGAGGTGGAATTTTTTTCAAGCTATCTGAGTCATGGTTATGAACAAAAAAGAAAAACTTCAGGAGGGTGGTGCTAATTTTTTGGTACACTCTGATGTGGACGTGCAATGTACATTAAGCATGGGATCAGTGTGTCAGAGCACAGAAGTAAAAGGTATACAGCATACTGTGTTAGCACGCTGTCCTAACAACTTGAATATGTGACATATAGAGAACACAGTTAGACGAATATTTGTTAGTTTCACAGATCGTGCTCGTGAATTTCTTGCATGAATGTTCTTGATATGAAGGCACATGTGCTCCTACACGGTAGTGGTTACTGCAGAGGCTTAAAGGTTTGAAGAGTCACAGCTTCGTATGTGCTTCTGGGTGGTTAACAGGGAGATTTATGTTGAGCTGCCCAGAACTATAGCCACTGGCTTTTCCCTTCCCTGGCACCTGGACCCAAACCATGGCCCCTTTGCACCCAGAGCTCCAGCCAATCACAGATCAGGTTTAACACAGCCAAATCAGGTCTGATACAACCAAAAAACACAACTCCTTCTTTATATAGAAGTATTCATGTGTGGCATTCAGACTCGGCTGTAGCTACATAAACTGCAGGTATCATACCTTCCTACCATGTCCATTTTGTTTGACCCTTCAGATCACCCAGCGATCAAAAAGTCATGGATCCACACTCTACAGTTGAGTCTGTACGCTACAAATGAAACCCCAAAACCCTGAGCCTTAGCCAGGCCCACTCTGTAAGGAATTAAAATCAAGTCAGTGTTATTGTATGGCTACACATCCACAGCTATGCAAGACAGACAGAACGGTTCTGGGCTTGGATAACCTTTACAAACATACCACATCACTGTTCTTATGTATTGCCTGTTCTTATTTCAATTCAATGTTTTGCATTTTTTTTCTTTGTTTGCAGAGAAAAGGAAACCAGAAAGTGTTAACATGCAAACATGTGATGTACTATTTGTTTATGATAATTTGGTAGTCCTGCAGATCATTTCTATGGACTTAAATTACATTTTTCCCTAAATAGTTTGTCTTTTGATGGGTTAAAATTGGTCGGGGGGGGGGTAACTGTGCAATGCACCTGTCCCTTGGTAATAACCAGGATTGATACAACCTCCTGAGACAGGAATGTGCAACTGATTGTGAAAAGTAAAACCAGAAAGTTATTTTTTGTTCTTTGGATAAACACATTATGGTTCCACTATCAGGGTCTGCAAAGCATATGAGGCCTGTGGTTAGGCTGTGTGTGTATGTGTGTGTGTGTGTGTGTGTGTGCGTGTGTGTGTGAGAGTATGGTGTGTGTATGTATGTGCGAGCGCAAACTACTGTATGTGTCAGTAATGCTTCATATGCTTTTTTTAGCCAAAGTTTTACTTGCTTGGTCCAGAGCTGTGAAAATTATCATTACTCATCATGGATTTGTAGAAATCGAGGCCAGACACTAAGCTGTTTCTGATCTCAGACCAGTTTCTACCAGATCTGAGTCCAATGACAATTGAAATCCTTTCCTTTTAGAACCGCAGAGTTTTGGTTGTTTTGGCACAAATACTCAAATTCAATCATGGAAACAAGTTGGAAGGATTTCCATGATTTGACTCAGGTGTGGATACTATAAGCACAGGGCAGGGTCAAACTAAACCTTAATGTGGATGTATCAATAAGATGTACCATGAGTTTTTATTTTGTCGGGGTCATGCTTTTCTACTGTGTTCTTCAGCTTGGAAAAAAGTAGCTCTAGAGATTTCAATGTGCAAAAGTACCTTTTATTTTCTCGTGGTTGGCCGTCTGATTGTAAATACCTTTTTCTGGTAATCCTTGGTTGGATCTATGTTCGATAAGTTCACTTAGATGGCTCTTTCAAATGTACTGATAGTAAACGTTCTTTATAAATAACCAGAATGTAAGACGAGTGAAGAAAAATCCGGCTTAACTGGAAACTGTGTTTTCGTAGGAGTCTGTGCCATCGTGTTGTCTTGAGTATAAGCACACTGATATTAGATCTGTAGGGAGGATGAAGGTTTTGGAGGTGATTCGCCAGACAGCCACAGCCAAGCTTTGGTTCAGTTTCTCTGGAAAAAGAGATATTTGGATGAACAGATGAATAATTAGACCAGCAATATTTGTCTCTCACATTCCTGATAAACAAAAAAAAATATTTTCAATTGCCATGCAAAGGAAAACCATCAAGACCAGCGATGATTGGTGAAAACATTATTTTATTTATTTATTTAGAGGACAGAAATGTAAATTTTAACCTTTCATATTTTATATTTTGCTAATGGGATAATTTAAATGCTCAATAATTTTCACCAATCCCATATCTGTACGCAAAAAAATTAAGCTGGAGCGAGAAGAGGTTAGCTTAGCTTAGCACAAAGAATGGATATAGCGGGAAACAGCTAGCTAGCTAATTAGCACTCAAATTTGAATGTAAAAATGTGTCCTTGACAAAATCTAACTTAACAAAAATGTCAAACTATTTTTTAAAAACAAGTCAGAACACGGTTTGCATTCGAAATAAGTGAACTTGACTCTATTGGCAAAATTTTTCACTTGTCAATTTACCCAAATTCCAAAATAACATTAACATAACGACTGGAAGCAGTGGGAAACATCTAGCAAGGCTCTCTCCAAATCCACCTACAATACAAAGTTTAATCCGTACAAAGATTTTAAGAGGCAGGATAGCCGTTTCACCCTGTTTCCAGCCTTAATGCTAAGCTAGGCGTCTCCTGGCTGTAGCTTTTTATTTAGCGTACAGACACGAGAGTGGTATCAATCTTCCCATCTGACTCTATTAAACTATTACTATTCTTTTAAAATGTGACTTTTATGCTTTGAGCTCGACAGATGAAATCCCATTTACCTCCTCTGTATCAGGGTGGAGGCCAATATCTCAAATCTTGGGCAAATAAAACTAAACCTATCTACATGACATGGTACTAATAGATAAGTGAGAAACTATGATTTTTGGATAACAACCCTTTAAGAAAAATCGGTGGATGTGATTAAACGGCTTGATAAGATGGTCATATTTTCAGTGTGCAGCTACATGCCAATGAACAGTTCAACACATTAGCACATATTTCAAACTTAAGGAAGGACATGTTTAAAGAGGAAAAAAAAACAGTTGTCCTGTGTTTTTTTACTCAAATGAAAGCAGGGGCTGTCTGGCTAAAATCTCCTGTCTTCGCTGTAGAAATGATGGCTGCTGTCATAAACCGTGTTCAAACCTCTCCTGCATCAGCTCATAAAAACACTTTTCAGGGATCTTCTGGTCTTTTGAGGAGTCCCAAATTCACACCGAATGTTTCTGAGACAACCACAAGCGAAACAGGAGAGAAGCGACAAGACACATTGTGTATCTCTTGTGCGTCTGTGTATTTTGTGTCTATGATAACGTAAAAAGCATTCTGGGGAAGAGTTGAATGATATTTTCAAAGGCTCCAAGTGGCCGCATTAGGAAATGTGTTATTTTTGTTACAATACCTCCTGAAAATAAAGTCTATTTATCTGTGAAGAGACAAAGATTTACAATCATACAGATGACTACATAGAAATTATGAGATTTTAAATGATGTAAAACAGATATAAATGAAAACGTACAGTTCATTTGGTTTTGAACACGATACAGAAATGTATATGCGTCAGTATTGAGTTTGATTTTATATATTTACCATTTTATTACATTGTAATGTTGTGACTGCAATGGAGAAAAAAAAATATAAAAAGGAATATAAATTAATTTTTCCAAATGTGTGTCGCTTTTCCTTCCCATTTATTGACACTTGATTTGACACTCAAAAAGACAGATTTTCAGTCAACTTTATTCATTTTGAAAATGTCACAGGAATCTCTCTACAGGCCACACAGGATTTGCATAGTTACAAAGGATTTTTTTACCCTTCTCAAAACTAGACAATTAAAAACAGTAACTTCAAACACAGAGTGCAAAGATGCAGTTTGCATGTAGCATTTAAACACCAAAGACATAAATATGATATGATAAAAATGAGACCATGACTGGGAGCTTCTATACAGCATTTCCCTCCATACCACTGACCTGTATTTTACACCGGGATGGTTTTATGGCACCAAATCATGCAGTTTTACAGTAAAATACACAGAATAAGTGGAGTACTGGAGTACCACAAAGGACAATGCTATTAGAGTGAGTCGGTCATGTTAACCATGGTCTGATAATACCAAGGCAACAAATGTTATTTTATAAATTGATGCTTTTAAAAATGCTATATGCAGTAGAAAGAACATAACTTCACATGTTTCAGCAGCAAGAAGCATATTTACACACACAAATAGAAGCATTAGTATATACATAGCATTAGGTACATGGCTGGAGATGCATGCAAGCAGCACTGCATTAAAGGATGAGGCTGGTAGTATTCTATAGTTTTGATATTGTCAAGAAAAGACCAAAACCAATAATGTGTTAGTCCTTCTCTCAATACTTTCCCACATCCCCACCCTATCAGTGGCACTCAGCCCGAAACCCATTGGTTCCTACTGTAGACGTAAATCCTGAAAACAGTTCAGAAATATATTTGTGTTTGTTTCCTTTTCTTGAAAAAAACCCTAAATCATTTAATTTAAACAGTTGGGCACTGTAGTTTTTAGCAAAAGTCACTCAAACAAGAGGAAATAGTGCATTTGTTGGGGACTACTTTCAGCTGCGGATGAATACACATTTTGGGCTTTAGTATTTACAGCAGCGGGTCAGCGTATGGTGGATTCTGAACAACCAAGGCGCTCTATTGCAGGAATAACATATATAAGACTATTCAGACGATAAGTAGGAGGAGGATCAATTCTTTGTTGGCTTTGGTATTTTAATGTAAAAGTAAGTCAGATAAATATGGAAACTTGCTCTTTAATAATTTTTAACTGAATTTGATCTGCTAATTTTGAATATAGGTGATCCAATGTGTTAGTGTCCTACCCAATGTGAATAATAACAATTATATTGTTTAGTAAAACAAATCCCTCAGTAAAAATGTCTCTTTTTAAGATGGTGAAAATCTCTTAGAGCATCTGTTGTGCATCTCAATCATAGTCTTTGGTACAATTCATATACATGCTGGACATACAGAATGGATGCCTGACACACCTACACTTACTGAACAATTTGCATAGAAATCACCCTTTCTAAAAACACCATTTTACTTTACTGTAGCATTTATATTCATTATTACCCATACACTATAATCCAATAGTAAAAATGAATCAATTTAGAATTAAGTTTTCAGACATGCAAATAAGGATGGAAGGAAAATGTAAGTGCCATTGAGAAGACTCAGACCCAGGTTTCAGTGTAACAAATAAGCCAAAGCAGTAACAGTAAACACATAAATCTAAAAAAAATCAAAGACAATCAAAAAAAATTCCACATAAAAATCTTTCAAGCTTTCCTCAGCACCTCAGTGAGATGCTAAATAAATCTTAAATGAGCTACTGGCTCCCTCTGCTGACAAAAAGTAACGCTACAAAAAACTTTTTAATAGTTTTTTATAAAACACAATTCCCACAAAAAACAAATGTGTTAAATCACTTATTTAAAACAAAATAATACAATTATTCCTCACCTTGTGAAAATCCTCTCACCAAACAAAGCCGTCAGTATTTCCTGAAAAGAAGTTACATTCCACAACAAAACGCCACTGGCCTTTTGTCACATTTTCAAGTCTATTGTAACAGTAACAACAAGGGCTGCAACGATTACGAACTATTTTGATAATCGATCATTTTGAGTAATTTTTATTTTATTAAGAAACAAAATAGGTAAAAATTCTCTGATTCCAGCTTCTTAAATGTGATTATTTTCTGGTTTATGTTCTCCTTTACAACAGTAAACAGAATATCTTTGGGTTGTGGACAAAACGAGACATTTAAGGACGTCATCTTGGACTCTGGGAAACACAGATTTGCCACCGTTTTCTGACATTTTATAGCCCAAACAACTAATCGATTACTCGAGAAGATAATCGACAATGAAAATAATCATCGTCAGTTGCAGCCCAAACAACAGCAACATTTTGGAGTCAGTGACAACTAGAGTATTCAGTGGTTCCTACAGCAGCTGTCAGTAGGCCTGAAGGCTTTTAAAACAACAGGTGTTTCTACTGCATGTCTGTACGCGAACATCAACACAAGCACGTCAGAGTGAAAGCTAGCGCAGCGGCCTCGGTGAGTAAAGTGCAACATGTCAAGTTCCTACTGGAGCACAAACAGGGGATAGACATTAGTGTGTGCTCTGACTGGTTTACTCCAGCAGGGGGTCGTCGTCGTCGTCGTCGTCAACCTGCAGCCTCTGGAAGGGCCGGGGGCCTGACGCCCGGCGTTGGCTCAGCGCCCTGAACAGAACTGAAGACAAACAGGTCGCTTTAGTTTGTCAGTAAAGTAGCGGAAATCCTGAGATGTACCTGAAACTGAATCTTAACAGAAAACCAAAGTGAAGAAATAACTCCCTCTAAACAACCTCTTTAGTAAATGGAAGGTAAGATTAAGAAAAACATTTTGTGGGGTCTATCCTGGGTCCCCTTTCTCTATCCACATGCTACCCACTGGCTCATTTTATGCAAGGACATAACACATATTAAATTACTGTTGTCATAATTCTGACTCACCAGTGATTATAGAGAGCATCAACAGGACGCCCACCACCAGGCCGATCATCAGGGGGACGTCCCAGCAGGTCTCGGCAGCCAGCATGCATCGAGCCTGGGTCAGGGTGCCGTTATTGGGCCGCGGGTTCACCGACAGCAGGTGGCACATGAGCGGGTAGACGTCCACGCTCTCTAAACGGCTGATTCGGTAACCCTGACGGAAGCTGGGCCCCGCCGCCACAAGGAAGGGGTGCATGCTGGATAGAGAGTTGTCGTAGCCATGATCGCCCACTGAAGGAGGGAAGGAGAGAGAGAGAGCTGGTGGTCCTATGATTGTCTTCCAGGTTATGCTGACCTTATGTCCACACAATTTAGTTTCTCAATTTGATATTAATACAATTTTGTTTTCTGTCAAAGATTGAGGTCACTTTCAGACAGGTCCAAAATTCATTAAGACTAAATTACCAAAAAGAGCTAGAGTTAAATTAAATTGACAGAATAAACAGAGTAGAGCAAAAGCAAGTGTGCGACAACTGAGCGACACACATTACATGTGACTTTGTTGTTAACCAAATATCTGGTTATCATAAGTACAAGTACGAGACGTACACCGTGGCAGCTTGTTCCCTCGCTGCACTATAGTCCAGCCCTCGTCAGCAATCAGTATGATTGGCTGGATCCACTCGTTGTTCCTGTAGTGCAGCCTATCAGGGATGGCCTTCTTCAAATAAGCGGTCATATGGGGGTGGCACTCATTCAGGAGAGTGAAGACGGCCTCTGGGTCTGTAAAGCAAATCCCCAACAACACTTCACTGCACCAGTGACTTAAAGTAATCTGACTTTATCTGTGTTTACACTGAAAATAAAAAGCTACACTTGATGTGAACCTGGTTACCTTTATTTGGGATGAGGGCAGTAACGGGGGAGAGGTCGATCAGCGTGTAGTTGTCAGGGTGGAGGCAGCCGTCCAGCCGTATGAGGCGCTCGGCCGAGCACTGAGCCATGCCGTGGTCACTGGTTATCAGGATGTTGGTGCGACCCCAGAGGCCGGTTTCCTTCAGCTCGGAAATCAGCAGGCCAATGTTGTCGTCAACCTGATCGTATACAGAGAGACACAGAGATCAATAACTGTTTCCTGCAAGCAAATCCAGAGTGAAAGGAGTTCTGTGCAAATTTGATTAGCTCTCAAGTGAGCCATTTGCAAGCGTATGCCATTTTTACAATGAATTTCCATCTTTATCATAGACATGCCGTGCAAGAACACAAACTTCCTGCAATGAAGAAAATGTTTCCAAAACCTGCTGCTTCAATCCAGCTTAAATGAATTTAAAACAATAATATTTCACATGAAATTACAGGGAAATATAAATAAACAACATGACCAAATATTCTTTGAACTAATACACATGGCAACAATCTTGATAATTACTGCTGATAATGTTGATTCACATGAAAATTTCCTCTAATCTCATGACTTGTTACTCAGTGTTAACTAGATGAGTGGATATTCATTATTCATTCTAGCCCACTACAAGAGTCCTCCGCCAGGAACTGTTTGTTTTATAATTAAAATCAAAAAAGTTTATGATTATTAGTTTATGATTATTAGGTTATTAATATACCTAAAACTAATACTTTCAATGATTAATTAATACAACTATACAATAAGTAAAAAGAATTTTCACGAGACTAAAAGTCTACAGCCATGCTAGCCGTGCTTTGAGCTAAATGCTAACGCCAGCATGCTAACATTCTCATAATGACAATGCTAACATGCTGATGTTAAGCAGGTATAATGGTTACCCTGTTCACCATCTTAGTTTGGTGTGTCAGCATGCTGACATTTGTAAAATACCACTAGAGTCAGAGTACAATTGAGGCTAATGGGAATGTTATTAGCAGCTATTCGGTTGTAAAAAAAGTAAGAGGAAGGGCGCCGGTTAGCTCACCGCTAGAGCGCAAATGTACAGTGTAGGGCTGAGGCTGAGACCTTGCTGTAATGGCCGGGTTAGGGTTATTTACTATCTCTCAACTGTCCTGTCATAAAAATGGAGGTGAAAAAAGTAAAAGTATTGAACAAATGTTATGTTTCACCAGAGGACTAGTCTAGAGGAAAGGGCAGAGGATCACCACAGTTAATACAGGTCTTCCTGAGAAGAGCATAAATGTTAGTCCCAGATTTCAAGGCAATCCTCTGATCAACACTGCCGCTAGTTTAGCTAAAAATCTCTCAACTTTTCTTCCTTTTTATGACTCAGTGTTCTAAAATCAGCACACATTTATTGTATAAAAAAAAGGTTTAAATGTATTGAGGACAAGACTTTTTGTCAAGTGAGCTTCTCTGAGGTTTTGAGCTTAACCGCATTACTGTACCTCCTTCAGCACTTCGCCCATAGCAGTTGTATTGTCCGGGCCGAATAGGTGACCTGACCGGTCCGGCTCTTCCCAGTAGAGAGCTGCGAACTTCACTCCTGGCTCCTGGTGGAATGGAGTGAATGGTACAGCATGTCAGACAATGGCTATTGACCCCACCAGACTTTCCTAATTGTATTGCCCTGTGCACTAAAATGGCATTAAGTGAGTTTTAGAACAGCGATAGAGCAATGGAAAACTTGGGACACAAAGCAAATAAAAGTGTAAATAAATATGTCTGTACCGTAGACGTTATATATTACACGTAAGCTAACTTTTTTACCTTTCCGTCTCCCAACATCCAGTTTGTCACGTTCCTCAGTCGTTGCTGGAACGTCACAGCGGGGTTGTAGGACATAAAGTGTGTCGCCGTGCGGTTGCTGATGATCACGTCGGAACCGGGCCACATCACTGCTCCCGTCTTGTAGCCAGAGTCCAGCGCCGTGACCCAGAGGGGCTGTGCTTTGTTCCACCACATCGGGTCGGTGTCGTTGTTGATGTGGAAGTGCTTGTGGCTGACAGGGTCATACATGTTACTGGCGAGGATACCATGAGACTCAGCATACAGCCCTGTCACCTGGAGAGGGAACACGATAACTGTTATTGTTTTTGTCATGATCATCGTAATTCATTGTTATGCTAGCTTATTGCGTATTTCAGTTTATTCTGAGACTTAATTGGTCAAGTCTGCTTAAATTGTAGTTGGACTAAAGCAGTTTCTACAGCCTTTTCATGTTTGCTTGACTGATTTACCACATATGCAAGTCTGCCTTATCATCTGTTTACATTATCAGCCAACAGCCAGAAGGAGGATGTGTTTTCAGACACGCATCTGATGTCTGTCAGATCATCTTTCATTTACTGACGCTTTATCCAAAGTGACTTACAATTGCTATATATCAGAGGTCGCACGCCTCTGGAGCAACGAGGGGTTAAGTGTCTTGCTCAGGGATACACAATGGTGGATGGGTCATAGTGAGAATTGAACCCAGGTCTCCCACACCAAAGACAAGCATCTAATCTATGCGCCATCACCACCCTACAAAAAGCACAGCAGCCAGGTTACCAGGCTGTAGTGATTGGGAAACGTCTTGGTGATGAAGACGTTGGTGAGCTGCTCCACCAGGACCCCCTGGGTGTACAGGAGCTTGAGGTTCGGCATGGGGAACCTCTTTAGGTAGTCCGCTCGGAAACCGTCGAACGACACCAGCAGCAGCGCCGGTGGACCCTGCTGTGCCGTGTCATTTTCTGCGGCCAAAGCAACAACTCCACACAGGAAACCCAGCAGAATTTTCAGTAACATCCTGAAAAGATATCAAAGATAATTGTTATCTGTAATTTCATTTGACAACACATGGTGTCTCTGAACAGGACTATAAGTCTCCAGTCACGCTAATGGCTCTGTAAGGCTGAGCTAAAGCTTGCTGCTGTTGAGCAGGCACAATGTTTGCCTATTCACCATCTTAGTTTAGCACTTAACATAGAACATAGAACAACTGATGAAGATGGGAATGTTATTAGTTTGCAGGTATTTCGTCAAAAAAAAAAAGTTTTGGACGCCAGATAGAAAGATGTTCCAATTCATCCTGCTGTGTTATACATGAATGACTGTACTAATAGTATCCAGTGTTTGTGGCAGCATTTCACTCTGAATCAAACATGTCAGGGTATCACCAAAGACATTAGGATTCATTCTCTGGGAAACTTGAATGTACAAAATTGCATGGCAAGCCGGCAAATAACTGTTGAGATATTGAAGTCTGGATTAAAGTGGTGGACCACATGAACAGTAGATGACATTTCCATCCATTGGGCCATGGCACGAGTATGGCAAAAAGAGAGGCCAAAACAATTATTCTGTTACTGAATCAGCCCCTCCACCCAAGCTGTGGACGGTGCAGTTTCAATCACAGTCATTACAGGACTGTATGTTGGAAAGAACCAAAAAGACCAAACCGTCAATCGAGATTTCTGGGTAATGCTAGACAAAAAAAAAAGGAACTGAGAACCAATGTCTGGCTGGAAAGCAATGTACGTTTGCCAATCATGTCTCACATACAGAAGCACCTTAACCAAAAATAGTCTTCGATTCTTCACTTTTGCTTAGCAGGAAGTGAAACTTCAGGCAGTTAATGCATTCTGTACCAGCAGGCAAAATGAAAATTACAACCAATATACCATAAATAAATATGTGAGCAATTTGCTGATTGTTAGCGTGTGCCAAGTCCACTTGCTTTACTGTCGTGTTCTGGGAGAGGGTTCTGTACATAGTTTTGTATATAGTGAGGTCCATTTATTTTCTCAAAAATGCGGGTCACCTGCGGTGAGGATGATGATAAGGGGTTATAACTTTACTTTAACAGTGTTGTGTGCAATTTTGTGAGTTTTCTCCTCTGCCTCTCTTCTCATATGCCATACAACAGTTTTGACTTTATTAAAGGCCCACAGTGGAACTGGCCTTGTACGTGTATTGTGTTGTCTATGTTGACTTTATAATCATGTGTACACAACAGAATAAAAGAATAAAATATATATCATTTTAAAATAGCCTAAAGAAATAACCTTCTTCCCCCTCTCTGATTCTGTTATTTGGTTCCCGTTCACACTGTATGTTCTACATAAACGTCCTGTTTCACATGCATCAAGTCACAAGACAGACAGGTACTGTTGTGACAATAAAAACAAGGTTACAGAAATGTATTACTCATACATACATCTAAAGTTTAGTTGTTTAATTATGTTATTGTGCCTCATTTGAGAGCTGTTGTATCAGTGTGTGTAAAAACATTATGCTACACTCATGGTTCATAAGCTGAGAAGAAGTAAAAACACTGCCAAATAATGTTGTAAGCTACCTGGCTCCATTTTTTTATTTGGACAGCCAAAACAACAACTCATTTTAAAGCTTGGTTCCACACCGTAAAATGTGTATTTTAATAGCAAGGACAAATAATTACACTCCAATGTCATATCAGACAAAGAGCTCATCTTACACACACATACACCAACACAATGTGGCCTGTAAAAAAAATCCCCCAACATGCTTCCCATTCCACTCACTTCTATCAAGTCAAATTGTCTTATTTACTTTCTTACTTGAGGGAGTTAAGTTATTCTGAAAGCAAAGATCACAAGCTGTGATCTCAAAGAAGCATAAAATTGGACCTAATCTTTTAAAATTAGATTCCCTACAAACCACACACACTGGAACACAGAGAGACATTGACTGTCGGCATCTCCCTCTCTCTCTCTATTCGATTAAATTAAGTAGCCTTTTTAGTCTGTGTGTTATCAAAGTTATATGAATATGAATGAAAATGAGTTTGTGAAAACCACAAATGAAGTTGGGCAAACAAACAGTACAAACAACTATAAAAGAAATTCTGCATCTGTTTCATGCAAATTACAATTTTAACACATCTTTAGAAACCTCTTTCTATATTTCCTTTTAACTTTGCCACTGTCTCGTTTGAGTAAACCGTGACGCAATATACAACTGTCACCTAAATAACCACAACGAGGAAGTCGCCGTTGTTGACGTAAAAAAAAAAAACCCACCAAAGAAATGTCGCTAATAATTACATAAATAAATGCTAAATCCAACGAAGAATGGGTGATTTCTAATGAGCCATGAAGCATCGATTCTACTTGCGTTACGTTAAGTTAGCTGTCTGCATAGCTAGCGTGCTAATGCTACAGCGTTCACATAATTAACAAGATATAATTTAATAACGTTACCTGATGCAGGCCGGACAGGCAGTTGTCCTCCAGACAGTACGGGTAAATAACTTTTCCCTGACGTCTATTTTCGCAACAACATCATCAATGGACTTCCTCAAAATACACAACCGCAGAGATGTTGTCGAGCTAGCTGAGATTACTTAAAGAAGATTCCGGTACGGCTTTTCAAAATAAATCTCTCTTTGAAACCGCGCATACTGTAACACAAAATACTGATATTTTTGAACAATAGTTTCGTTTTCTATATAAATAACAATTCTACTGGCAATTTATTACTAAGAAAAACCCAGCAATATATACACATAATTTTAGTTTTGAAAACATAATGCTTTAATTTTGGCGTGGCAACGGTCCACCTCTGCTCTTGTTGTAGCCACCTTGATATAACGATCAACTGACCACTGGAATGGGGGCGGCACAAATGTGTGTGGTGTATTGTTTGTGAACACATGATGATGTGTGAAGACAAAACAGTTTTTGTGTCATTGTTAAAAAATTTGAATTTTTTAAAATGTTACAGAAGTTCAATTACGATTAGAATAGCCCAAAAATATGCCTCTAGATCAAAAATTGTCTGTTTGAGACAATATTATGGTGATATGGTGAAGTGCATGACCAAATCCAACACAGCTTTATACATTGCAGCATTGTATTGCAATTTGCCAGGCAAGCTAATTGTCCACACCCACATGGAACTCTATTCTACATACAAATTGATCGCAAATGTAGTCTACAATATATTGACGGTATCTCTTTTCCAGCTTCACTGGTGACAGGTAAGATATGGTCAACATGATACAGAACTCTCTAAGATTTTTAAGTTCACAAAATCATATGGCAGAGAAATAACCACAGATTGGCTAAAATTTACATGAATCCTGAATCCTTCACTCAGGTGTGATCACACATAACTTCTGAACTGATTCATCCACAATTTTCAATCATCATCCAGTCATCACCAGCATGACAAGAAAACAACAAGAACAAATTTGGACTACGTTTTTATGACTTATAGTGGGCAAGTCACCATGTCTATCTAGGGTGGCAGGAGATAGGCTAGGTCTGACTCCTAGAGTAGCCTAATGATATTAGTGCTATGATATTTTACAGGACAGGCCCGATTGTAACGCTCAGCCTAGGGGCTTAGCATGAAATGAGCCCCATCTTCCCCAAGTCCCAAGGAGCCACAAGAACACAAACTTAGAAAACCAACAACAAGCAACTGGCATATCTAACTAATATAAACAGGATAAAAACAAGGTTAACAGAACTGGCAGCCCACACCTACTACTCAAAATAACCCAACGCACATGAACAGCTCAGGCAAAGTTAAACTGTGGCCGGATGGGAGAAGAGGAAGATGACAAAATCCCCTGCCCCGGCCTCCTCCGTCTTCTCCTCTTAAACAGCAGGCTTTCAGGAACAGCCAATCATCTGCCACAGGTTGGAACCGCAGCTACCAATCACCGTAGAGTAGAAACGTAGGGGAACTTGAGCGACCAATCATCAGTATTACATACATATGAAACAGAACAAAAACACAATTCACATCATCTCACCCAAATTTGACAAATTACAGTCCACACCGATGTCAACATTTCGTTTAAAGATATTAAACCTGGGATTCACTTTTTTGCCAGACATATAATATATATATTAATATAATAGACAATACACTTGTTCATATTATGCTTCAAAATGCATAAACATATTACTGTAGAGCGTACTGATGATTTGCATGTATTAGCCAGTCACAAAGTTTATATTCATAAACTCCAACATTTTAGACTTAAAGGAGCTCTCCACTGATTTTACACATGAGGTCAGTTTTGCTTTATTGGCATGAATGTCAAAGAACAATATCACCAAATCTTAAAAGATAATACAAAAGAACAATTATTAATGTCATGCAGTTCATTACATAAATAAAATAAAATAGATAAAACAGTAAATGTGTGTTTAAATAAAATAAATAAATACAAAACTAACTAAATAAAAAAAAAAACAATAAAATAAACCAGTAAGCGTGTGCGTATGTGTGTTGTGAATCAGTTTTACTTCTCATGGCGAGTACTACCAGAGACATTTTGTAGAGGAGACACGCCACTTTAAGAATCCCCAATACAACTCTACTCAACTCTGACCATTGAAAGTGCAGTTATGGCTCCCTCCCCATTCATTCAGACAGGGGCCTGGTCGATCCTGTCCTGAGTTTCTCTGAGTTTATTGTTTGGTCAGTTCAGTATCTGTAATTTAGTCTGTGTTTTGGTTCCATGTCTTTGTTCCTAGTCCTGTGCCTTATTTCATGTCTTAGTATTTACTTCTAGTTCTTTGTCTGCATTATTTTAGTTTACTCTGCTGGTATCGTTATGATCCCTGTATTATAGTTGGTCGGTGTTTGTCTGTTTACGTGGGTTTCTGTTAATGTCTGAAGTTAGATTCTTGTCTGGTATTTTGTAACATGTGTTCTGTCTGTTCCCCTAGTAATCTGTCTCTCTGCCTGCCTGTCTCATCAGTCCTGATTCCTCCCACCGTGTTTCTCCCGCCTGCTCGTTAGTCCCTGGTGTTAAATGTTTGCTGTTTCTGTTCAGTCTCTGTCCGGTCATTACAGTGTGTTGTAGTGTTGTAGTGATTGTAGCCTGTTCTGTCACGTCTTGCTTGTTCCCTGCCTGTTCCTTGTCCGTTCTTTGAATTTTGGATTGTACACCTGTTTCTGGATTTTTCTGTCGGATCACCTTGTTTGTTGGGACTGTGTTATTTTGAATTCCCTAGACTCAGCCACTACGTTGTAAATGTGCAGGGCTAATCGACACTCCAGGAACTCCAGGGTCAGGAAACGGGCAGGAAACATCACTGCAGATCCATATCACCCCGGACACAACCTGTTCCAGCTTCTCCCCTCTGGTAGGCGCTTACAGAGCACTGTACGCCAAAACCAACCGACACAAGAACAGTTTCTTCCCACAAGCCATCACTCTGATGAACAGCTGACTTCTGACTCACGGTGTCAGGAACAATTCCTGTGCAATAACACTCTAATAAGCCACCTGTTTACTGGTTACCACTTATTATTTAATCACCATTTTCTATTTCAGTGCTGTTCATACTGTTATATATTGTACATAAATCCTTTGCACTATGCTCCATCGCGCTGTGTACATGTATGCATGTATGTGTACCTGTATATCACATCCACCTCCGACATGTACATAATAATAATAATAATATTTTACTCCTGCATCCTTTGCACTCTGATCACTGCACTATTTGTCAATATGTCTATATTATTTTTGTTCATAGTGTGTATATTTGTGTTGTCTACACTGTAGCCTGTGTCTGATTTATTTTATTATTGTCTTACTCTATTATTGTATGAGTAAGCACATCATCATGAGCAATGTACAATCCTGAGTCAAATTCCTCGTATGTGTACACATACCTGCCAATAAAGCTGATAATTGAATCTGTAAGGACTTCGGTACTACTCACCCTGGGAAAACACATCTATAATGTCTTCTGATGATGTCATCAGGGTTTTGTCTAAGTTAGGCCTGAAACAGAAAACGTGTTACAAACTGGGGGCATTAAGTTTGAAAGAAGAGGTCATTTACTAGGCAGGGAAACTCTAATGAAAGACACTGTTGAGGTATTACTGTTATTGGAAATGTAGGGATCCAGCATTTTGAGTTTGCTCCCAAACTTGATGCAAGAAACCAACTTCACATTGTCTCTTGTCTCACACACAGCTGATGAGTTCTCAAATGTACAATTGCAAATGCTGAACCTACTTTGAGCACACCACAAAGTGTATTCAGAGCTGTCCAGCTGCATGTGCATTTCCTTACAGTGTCACATAAAGGCAACCAAAGTAAGTTTCCGGTCTCTGAAATGCCAGCCACCCAACAACAGCAATAATGTGCCATGTGTATGTAAGCTGTGTTCTCCTTTAAGGATCACCGCTGTCTTTGCTTGGCTTTGCCTCTCTTCCTTCCCCGTCCAAAGTCCTGGGGTGCTTCTTGATAAGGTAGGCACTTTTGGCACCACAGTCATTCTGCTGAACACCTTAGCACGCTCATTCCACCACCTCAGGACAACCCCTGTTTGACCTCTTCACCCAGAATGGATCCCTGTGAGGAGAACGTGTACGAGAACCCAGAGTTAACCTACCAGAACCAGTCCTCAGGTATATACGATGTGACGTGCGAGACACTGAATGAGACGCTGTGTGAGGCGCCATACGAGACGCCCCCAGACCTGACATCAGAGTACGAGAAAACTGGAAGGGCCATAGGACAAATACCGGCACCCCCTTCTCCCCCCCCACCTAAATCTCCCATGGAGGAGAGGCGAAGCAGTTCCTCCTCTTCTTCATCCTCCTCATCCTCCTCATCTTCCTCACATGCTGGGGATGAAGAGGAAGGGAAAATGGAGGGCTTGAACAGGGAGGAGGAGAAAGAGGAGAAGCTCGAGGTGGAGAAGAGCAGCAAAGACCTGAACTGGGAGAGGAGGTCTCCAGAAGCGGAGTTGGACGGGGGGAACTCATCACGCAGATCCTCATCCTCATCATCATTTTCATCAGCCTCTGAGAAGGAGGGCACTGAGAAGAAGCCAGAGCCTGAAAAGGATGAAATGAAAGTCTCACTTTTTGTTAAGGTAGGGCAGAAGGGGTGTGATTTTACTACATCATGTGATTCCAAATGGATTTCAGTTTAATCTCTGTGACATGTTATGGTGTGTGTTACATGCTCAAACTAACAAACTATGTGGGAACTAACTTGTAGGCCACATAAATCTCAATCATAATCACATTCATATCAGTTGCATATGAACAAGTGTCCAAGGTCGTGTGTGTGTGTGTGTGTGTGTGTGTGTGTGTACTGTATGTGGAATGTGATTACGTTACATCCAGATTTTGAATTTATATCTTATTGTTGGGGCCCTTTACACACCTCACTTTGCTGTTCACGAACACTTCTATTTACAGGCCATAATGTTTAGTCATTTCTGTGTGTGTGTGTGAGAGAGAGAGAGAGAGAGAGAGAGAGAGCATTAGTTTGAGCATGTGTGTGTTACTGTGGTTCTAAATATAAGTTAAGTTGAACTGACAGGAATGTTCTGAGTCAGTGCTGGCATAGTTGGGGATGGCTCCTGTCACGGCCATGTGAATTTATCTGTCTGGTCATAATAGCTAAAGATTGTACGTCCACACCGAAACAGACACACTAACTGAATGCATTACATAATCTTCCACACTAAAGTCCATTTGCACTGGAGTATACAGGGATCATAAACTAACACTTTGACGCTACAACCATATAAATAAAAGCACTATAACCCTGAGGTCATTGGCGTAAAATAAGAATGACTGAGGTATACTGCCACGCCACGCCACACCAAAGTAATTACCTTGTAGCTTACTTGAATTAAATATAACTAATTTAACATCATCCAATGTCACCAAAAATGTAACATTATCTAATTAGACTGTTGCTACAGGATCTTTGTCCATCTACAACTTATAATACAGTCAATTAAACCTGTAGGTAAAAACCAGGAGCTAAAAGTAGTATATTGGCTATGATTGTTAGCTAGATAACATTTCAGTTCCACCTTTTAATATAGCACCCTTCATAAAACGTGTTATAAGCTTTAATTAATGGTTTTATTTGTGGTTAATTAATCATTTACCAATGCTATAGAGATCAGATATAAGAATTATAAGAACAACGTTTGGGTTACCAGGTTGTGACAGTTGCTTTGATGCTGTGACAGATACTCATTTATTTAATTTACCAGAATGAACAATAATGAACTGTTCTACCATTTCCCATCTGGAGAAGGGCGTCTGGACCAAAATCCATTTATAAACAACTTATTAACATTTACAATTACAGGACTTGGCAGACTCCTCTAAAAAACATATGTCAATGATTTATCAACATTTATGACTTACCTTTTCTGGTTGTTTAAGAAACCTATAATTTGTGAATTGAAGAGTGAGATAAAAAAAACACAATAAGTGTGATGCAGGAGGAGAATTTTCCTACCTAAAAGTTATTATTATCAATGCATATAACTGAGTTAGATATATCATTGGTAAATGATTTATTAACCATTATAAACTATTTAACTATGGCTTCTAAGCCCTTTATAAATTTTGTTTTATTGAAAAGTGGTATTAGAATTTCTATTTGATTCTTTATTGGCTGGGCAATACAATTTCCACCAGCAATATTTTCTATTCTATTAAATTACACCAATGTCCAATCTTCTAGGGGGTAGGCAGAGATGTGAAGTTAAATATTGGTGAGATAAACTGAAAACACATCTATTAAGCAGCCCATGCTGGGACTTCAATATTTAACTGGTCAAATGATGTTAATCTTTAAAAATGGATCACAAATATCTGGGGGGTTTTTTAAAGAAAATGCTCAGCTATTTCCTAAAACACTTGGACGTTACCCACACACCAAGAAGTATTGCATTTGTTGGGGACTACTTTGAGACGCAGATTAATACACATTTGGTGCTCTAGCAGGTATTTACAGCACGAGCACAGTGTGGATCAACTCAAATTAAAATTACTACACTATGTGTATCCAAGCTGTCAGTAAACTTTAAACATACTCATCATGTTTGACCCTGCCGAGAAGCTGAAAGCCCTGGAGTTTGACATCACCCTGCAGCTAAGGCCAGTTGAGTGAGGCAGTTCAGATGCAAGCTGAGATTTCACAGCATGGGACCCATGGGTGCTGATGAGTGTTGGATGGAGACGATGACTCTCCATGATTCAAAGTCACCCGGTTGTGTTGTCAATCAGAGCTGTAAGAGTTGGGAAGGGCAGGGCACCCTTGGGTGACTTGGTCTGCCCTTTCCCTCCTCACCACACCACACCCCCTCCCCACCCCACCCAAGAGGGTTATTTTTGCCTGTCACTGTCACGCCCCGCTGCTGGGGCCACGGGTATAAATCGAACCTCTCACACACACTCTCTCGCTCTCTCTCTCTCTCTCTCTCTCTCTCACACACACACACACACACACACTCTCGTTGGCATTCGTCCTCAGCTGACTCTCTGACACAGCTGCTATGGGACCAGGCGGACTTCACCGCATGGACCTGGAGTAGAATCCGCTGTAAACTGAGACACAAACACACACACAAACACACACACAAACACACACACACTTCTACACACTTGTGGAAACAAAACACACAAGCAAAGCGTGTTTTTCTTGACCATGACGGATACTGCAGCCGAGGAGGACAAGGACCCTGATATTGAGCTATTTGTCAAGGTGGGGAGTTTTGTTTGTGTGTGTGTGTGTTTTGGTGTTTGTACACTTTGTGTACATAACAAACTGACACTAGGTCAGTTTTTTCACACTTCTAAATGACATTCCTTTACAGCTGTTGCTATCTCACCCAGCAGTCTGCCTTTATTAGTTGTTATTTTTGATTTTCAAGTCAAATGTAAGATGCATGTGCACACTATATAATGTGTATATATATATATATATATAACATATTCACTGGGTATATTTGGTTTGGCTCCTTTAAGCGTGTGCATGCCATGTTGTTGTTGTGTGCTGATTTTCCGTAAGTTAACCTGACACCCACGTGCATAGGCAATCTCTCTCTTTCTCTCTCCCAATGAATTATTACTGGGGTCCTTTCAGCATTGAGAACAGCAGCTTTAAATTGTCTGTGGTTATCATACAATATGTACAGTGTGTATATGTGTGTACACAGGTTTTTGGCACGTCCCTTTGTTTGTTGGCCAACACGGTCTCGACATCTATGACTCTTGCAGTCATTTAATGAATAGACAGTAAAAGGATGTCAGTGACAGTCTGTTGAGTCTACCATATGTGCACTCATTCACATGTTTGATCTTACTTGTAACGCAAGTTGCAAACATTATTGTGACATGCAAAATATTTAAAGGAATAGTTTGGAAAATGCGCAGATAGATTTTTTTTAAGTGAGAAGATTGATGGACTCGATATCGATATCTATCTACTAAATTTGAGGCGACTGCCAGCAGCTCATTAGCTTACCTTGGCATAATAGGAGGAAACAGTTACTGAAGCTAACAAAATCTGCCTACCTCTAAGGCAAATTTTTGTTTGCTCAATCAGTAAAAAACTGTACAAAAATATGATATGTGCTGCATTATTTCTTCACTGGACACTGTATGTATTATAAGAACTGGATACTCCAATATGTTTATTCATTTGAATAAATGCCAAGCTCACAAGGCAAAAACGTTTTCTAGCTTTCAGGTTTGCTTCCTGTTGCGCGGTAAACTGCACATGAACATTAATGTTTCGCTCCCAGGTCCTGCTATAAAACCTTTATGATTTAATAATAATAATAATAATAATAATAATAATAATAATAATAATAATAATACAATACAATTAGTATTACTGTTATATATAGTATTACTGACCTTTTTTGCAATTGGTGTCCACACAAAGATTTTCCAGATGTCTCTTTTATGATGGTGGTCTATGGGGAAAATGCTTTTGGGACCACAAGGTTAATACGCATGAGTATTCTGGCTGGCATGAGGCAGAGCCTATTTAGTTGTTACTTAGGATTATGTTGTTGCTTATCTCCAAGGTGTAACCGCTTTAATTTTAGTACTGAATAAATCAATGATTAGTAATAATTTACATTATAACTGGGCTAAGTTTCAACTGACACACTGGTGCAACAAGTGGCTGTACTGCAAATGGGTACTGGGATAAATTGGCAACAAGGCAGAGTGGCACCGCAGTTTCTAGTACTCTGTTAATACACCCACCCCGGATGCAATGACATGAGAGTGTTATTCATTTTCACATCTAAGTCTTGGCAAGAAATTAACATGTGTCTATTTTCAGGTTTTTTAATTACCATACCAGTCTGTTTGCTTTTAACTACAAATCATCTAGACTTTACATTGTTGCTGACCATTTGTAACGGTAATGTAACACTGACTGTGTGTTTGTACTGCAATCAATGGACAACAATGGCTGCATGGAAAGTTAGAAATTCATGGTTTACACAGGGGTTAGCTCTTCTATAAAGTGTATGATTTCTAGTAAGTGGGCTAAAATATGTTTTCCGTGTAATACACTGCAAATCTGATGTAGGGTGACTGGACTTCTGTCCTCAGGAATTTCAGAAAGTAAGTAAGTAAGTGGCAGTATCTTAAAACAAAGTAAAGAAAAGTAGACAACTCAAATATTTCAAGTTCAGTGAAAGAGTGTGTTTCTTTGTTTATTTTAGTGTTATAGGTGGACAGTGGGTTATATGATTTGAATAGGTGATACACTGCCTCTGTATTGTAGGAACCAGAAGTCTAAACAGGCAGTCAGGCGGCTAATGGAAGCAGCGTGGATTATTCATGTTGGACTTGGTGTCTCATTACAGTGTCCTGTTGCAGCTTCATGCATGCACGCAAACACACGCACACACACATTCAACCTACTGTATTTGATCATATGCCAATAATAAACGAGTGTATGTACGCACACAGAGCCCCAACATCAAAACCACTACTTCTTCTAGTATAATGTGTGTGATTTGATTAACTGATTGAGTCCTTGTTCACTTGTTAGTCGGGTGTGTGTGCCATGTGTGTGTGCCATGTTTGTGTGAATCAGTGTATGTCTTTTTAAGTACATGGTTTGCATGTGTGTCCCCCTGCATGCATGAGAAGAGGAGTGAGTCAGCATATGAAGGCTATGGAAAGTGTTTATCACAAAATGGACTCTAGTTCTGTTTTGTACCCAGCTCTAAACTCCATTTGTGTAGCAGTATTAGTGTTTAACCATGTTTTCGTGTATGTGTGTGTGTGTGTGTGTGTGTGTGTGTGTGTTTGTGTGTGTGTGTGTGTGTGTGTGTGTACAGGCTGGGATTGATGGCGAGAGCATCGGAAACTGTCCCTTCTCTCAGCGCCTCTTTATGATTCTCTGGCTGAAAGGTGTAGTCTTCAATGTCACCACTGTTGACCTCAAGAGGTAATAATAATATCATATTATAACACTATACTATTACAGTAAAACGCAATGAAAGACTAGAGGAAAAAGAATATATATCAGATCTTGGTTTACACAGACTTTTGAAACTATATTTCACTAAACGGTCTTTTAAATTATACTGAAACATATGCATGTTTACAAAAAGTTTGTTACTCTGCTATAATCTATAAACAATGTTTATATATTAACAAGGAATCTGTACTACATGTGTGTGAAAGGTGTAGCTCATAGTTATGAATCTACAGAGAATTGTTGCCCAACTCTGCAGTTTCCTGTCAGCTCTGTGTTTTGGTTTACTCGGTCACAACTTTACTGTTTTGGTTCACTCTCGCTGTTCTCATCACAACTGTTTCCAGCTGCAGCAGGCAGCAGCATTTAGCAGCTAAAAATCCAGATCTTTCCCTCAGGAATTTGTAGAGACCAAAAACAAAGCTAAATGTGAGAGTGAAACAGGAATTAATAAACGCTAATATTGTTTTCTGGATGTGTAAATAGGTATCAACTTCAAAAGTGACATACCAGTGTCGTATTCCTAGCTTGTTTCCCTGCCTCCACACGGCCGAAAGAGTCTGTTAAAGCTGGTTTAAAGCAGTTTTTGATAATCACTGATGTTTATGTTATCAAATGGCCCATTGGTCATTCAAAAATGAATCTACAGGTCAAATTCCCATACCTTTATGACAGAATACCATTAAAACTAATGACCACATTGAAATTAACTTGTTACCCTAATGCTAACATAGCATGCTGGAACTCACTGAAATACTATATTTATGCAAACTGACTGCAAATTCATTTTCAAAAGAACTGGTCCGCATTGTGCAGTAAAAGAAAGAAGAATTATTCCTTATCTTTAATCACACAGTAGTACCCTTGCCTAATATGTTTGTCATCTTGGCATACAGATAAAACTGTCAGCATTAAAGTGAAACCCACAAACACATGCCTATTTCATAATGAGACAAAAAATGTTTCAAGTTCTGCACAGGCACCTGCATAAAACATATAGCTCATGTAACAATTGTAAGAATATGCATTTGTTTCTATTGTTTGTGTCCCATACGCAACATCCCATAACTTACTGTTTGATTAAGCAGCTAACAGATAACTTAAGAGCAGCTTTCACATACGCATTTAATTATGCTCTGGCTCCAAGTGCTGTTTTGAGAAATACGAGTCGGTAATAAAAAAATTCTCAAAGGGTCGCATTTAAAAACACTTTAGCTAAAAGTGTAATTGTTTTTGGAAAATGAGGCCCAAGGTAGTCAGCGTTTGCAGCAATAGCCACCATGGCGTGCATAGATAAAGAAAGGATCGACAAAGTAAAGTAAACAAAGGAGCATTTGTTAACTGTAGACTGTAATTTTATCACTGATACTCTAATAGCATTCCATTACAGATATATAGTGGAGGTTGTAAAATGATTCCACTCTGATTAGGAAACCGGCAGACCTTCACAACCTGGCCCCAGGGACACACCCGCCTTTCCTCACCTTCCAGGGGGAGGTTCTCACTGATGTCAACAAAATTGAGGAGTACCTCGAGGAGAAGCTGGCTCCACCAAAGTAAGCATCAAATACAGAAACACATGCAGGAAGAAACAGATAAAGTAACGTCCTAAATAACACCGGGTTCCTGTTTCTTATAGGTATCCCAAACTTGCAGCAAAGAACCGTGAATCCAACACAGCAGGAAATGACATATTTGCCAAGTTCTCAGCTTACGTAAAAAACACAAGACCAGATAAAAATCGAGGTAGGCGTGCTGTAAAGCCTTTTAATACATAACAAGACCACTGTTTTATCAACTTTGATGACCTTATGACCTGAATGTGTGTTCTATGTGTGTGTCTCAGCATTAGAGAAGAGTCTAGACAAGGTCCTGGCTAAGCTGGACGAGTATCTGATTAGTCCGCTACCTGATGAGGTTCAGGCGGGACGCCACAGTGGTGAGGGAGAATCCAACCGCAAATACCTGGACGGAGACGAACTGACGCTGGCTGACTGCAACCTTCTACCCAAACTTCATGTTGTAAAGGTAAGCTGCTTTGGATTGGTTCAGTTTGGTTCATTTGATCTCATGAATTTGGTCTTGACCGCATGTATTACATCAACTTGTTTTTTGCCAGGTGGTTGCGAAGAAATACAGAAACTATGACATCCCGTCTGAATTCAGAGGGGTGTGGCGTTACCTTGGCAACGCCTACAGCCGAGAGGAGTTCACCAATACGTGTGCGGCTGATGTGGAAATCGAGCTAGCCTATAAGGATGTAGCTAAGAGACTTGGAAAATGAGTGCATCACAACCACACAAGTCACTAATGTACCTTTTTAACTTTTTGGAAAATCTACCAAAGCATACTTCTGACAAAAATTACACTCTTTACAAAGGAAGGATGAGTTGAAATGTTGCACAGTGTTATGGTGTATCAAAGAAAAGACACATTTTCATATTTTAAAGGTGCTGTGTAGAATCTCAAGTCTGACTGACTATAAAACACGGAAGGGGCTGAAAATTGTTTGGGTATTGTGATAGCACAGCTAATATTTCTCAAAAAAGAATTTGATTTTTATTTAGTCAGGAAAAGAGTTTGCAAATGACCGCTAAACCCCTCCCCCGAACAGTGATTGTCAATTCATAGCAAATGTAGCAAGCAGGTCTATCCACCGAGCCTTGCTTTAGATTTCTCAGCACGTCATGTGCATTGGGCTGTTTTAAGATTGATATTCTGCACGTGGTGTCATTTCTTTTAGTCTTTCCAAAACCAATAATTCGTAAATAATGGATTAAACAGAGTGTTTCTGCTTTAATGTAAGCTAAAATTGTTTGCATGTCTGGCTAACTAGCTTACTATCTAACTCAGCGTTACTACCAAGGCCAAGGAGCACCGTTGTGAACTACATTAGCTTGTGGGGTTACAGATTACATAAAGCTCCTTCACATCACGTCGGTTAGTCCTTACCCTGAAAGCCTTTCCTGAAACGTGCTACTGTTTGAAAATATGAAAAACAATGTAAGCTAATCAGCCGAGTCAAGTCAGCCAAAACAATAAACCCGGAGCTAATGCTAGCTGGATTAGATAGCTGGCTACTAGCATCATTTCAGCGGGCTAAATCGAGAGTTGCTGGCTAGAGCTGAAAAGCCTGAGTTTGTCTGCTTCTCTGTGAAATCAAGGGCCCATTGTTTCAGAAATTACTAAGAATTTTGAGTGGTAAAATCTGCCACTGTCACCTATGTAAACGGCATGTGTCATGCAAGAATGGAAAGCTTGAAAATTAGCAGTAACTTAAGTTAGTGGAGCTTAACAAATGGTTAAAACTTTAAAATAAAACATTGTTTGTGACAGCAGATCCCCAGTCAGCCAATGATGGAGGTTGTTTTCTCCTGAGCTCTACTGAAGTATTACTCTGCTCACAGTTAATCTGCTAATTAAACCCTAATGATTTCAAGTTGGGAATTTATTTTACATATATGTAATAGGAATAATGGGATTCATAATGCAGTTTTATTATTTGACCTGTCTTCTTGTTTCTGTGGATTATGTTTAATTATATGATTTGTTATTGAATTGCTAGTGTTATTGGAAAATACTGTTAAGAATGTGTTTCAGCCAAAGTGATTTGTCTTTTATTGGGGCAGTTTGAGGTTTGTGGACTTTATAGACTCCTTTTCTTAATGAGACAATGACTTACTAGTTCAATTTTGGGTTTATTCACCTGCTTGAACTGCGTAATGAAATTCTTTGGAGAATACTAATCTCTTTTACAACACAGTTCCCTTACTTTTACAGTCTCACACCTCAGTGTATGTCTAGTCAGTCTTTGTCTGAATTGTTCCCAGTCTCACAGTGTATTTCAGATTAAAACTATATATTCAAGTTTATTGCCATTCAAGAAAAGAAAAATCATGCAAATAAACCAAGTTTGCCCCAGCTGTCATTTTATTCAGTGCATACCGATGGTAGTAAATGTAATTTTACTAGTTCACTAGTGCCTTAGCAGGAATCAAGCTGTCCTCTGCCTTCAGCTCTTTGTGTCTGTACAGTAAATTATATATGTTTGAATATAGTATGAATGTGAATCATTCTCCTGCCCCGTGGAGCTGTGTGATGATAATATAATAATAATATAAATTGAATTTTTCTGTAAATGATTTTAGCTCATCTATATTCACATTCTTTCTGATGATTAGAACCATGAACCCACTGTGTACATGTTGCTCATTGAATAATAAATCTATTTTCTCAGAGACTGAGCTTGAGAGTTGTGATTTTTTTTCATTGAAACTGCCATTGATGTATGAATATGGTATTCCTGTACAACAGAATGGATACTGATCCACTGGATACTGTGTCTCTCCCAGCAAATCGTTGTTGTTGTGTTGCATAATGCAAATGTTCCAAGGAAAAAAGCAAAACCCCCAGCTTTGTCACTGTTTTTGCTTATGGGAATGCATGCAAAGTCATCTTAGGTGTGTCGTGCTGTGTGGGAAATCCACCTTTCTTATCGAACCTTGAAAACATGTTCATGCTGAGACACATACGTTCGGTAATTTAAAAACATAAACCCTTCATTTATAACAAAATGACCCCTAACAATAGTCCTTGATGATCAATAGGCAGAAATAAACAAAGGGAAACCTTGAATGCACGAACCTAAGGGTGAACAATGCATTTCCCTGAAGGCACTACTGTGTACACAGCTTTTTCCCCACCTTTTGCTTTCAGGGTTTATCTCCTCACAGCAGGTACTCCTCTCTCCCTGTCAGCCTCTTTCCCTCCCTCGACCCTCTTTCCCTGTGCTGGTTGAGTAGACGCTTTACTGTGTTTCCACCTCACAGTTATCTATTTTTATGTTCTGAACACTTGTAATTTCAAATTTCCACAATAATTACCTGCCAAGTCTGAAAATGCACATGAGGCACAGCAGGAGCACTGGCAACAGAGCTGTTAATATAAGACAAAAATGACCATGTCCCTAAATTATTTAAGAATGCTTTACCTTTTTAGTACTTTCAACAAATAAAAAACCTAAATTGCCTTCTAAAATGATTCTGAATTTCAGCATCTCTGCTGAAAATCCAAGAGGCCACTTGCTGTGGTCTAATGAGCTTGTAGCGCCTGATCGCCAGCAGATGGCAGTAACACAAAGCTTTTATTGGTCTGAGATGGCGTGAACATGTAGTTAGGGACCGTCATATTTTATGTCTCCCCTTTCTGTGGCAAATATTACTGAACATCAGTCACTATGGCCCACAATTATATCTATCATACAGGCCTGGTAGTAATCAAAGATTAAAGCAAGCTTCAGAAGAAAGACCAGCAAAATATATTTAAAAACAAACTCTGTAACTGTCTCCGGTTTCACTATACTGATTTTTGTCCTTCACTTTGAGGAATTTTACATTACATTTTAATAATTAATTCAATTACACATGATACTGTTTGAAGTCGTGAGACCTATTGCTGTTAATTACTGACCAATTTTATGTTTTTTGGTATTTTATTTTAATATTATTTTAATAATACAGAATTCATCCTTTTATTAAAGAATTTTAGTGATGAGTGTAACTTTATTTTAAATTTATTTCATGTAAGCCTCACTCAATAACAGTTTAACAGTATGTAACAGTATATAGCAATATTACTCATGTATACTTATGTACTTATGTATGTATCAGAAGTAAAATTATTCACTGCATGTTATACTATTACATTTGATTATTAATACAGATGAATTGATGTAATGTTAGTAACATTTTACTGTGTATCTTGTCAAGGTTCAACTATAGTGCTGGGTTGTTTAATCAATTGCAATGCATCGCATTTTATAACATCATTAAGGCTTTCATATTTCCTATTAAATAAAGCTGTCAAATAAACAACGGTGGATGAAGTATTCAAATCCTATACTTGAGTAAAAGTAATACTATCTCACTGTAAAAATACTTTGTTACAAGTAAATGTACTGCATTGAAAATGTACAGTATTTAAAAAGTACTCAAAGAAGAAAGAAAAATGTCCCCTGTGATTGTAATAGGTAATACTATTATATTTTATACCATTAGATTATTGTAACTCGTGAATTAATGTAATCAGGATTGTTCTGTTGTTTGTATCACACTACAATTAATGACTTTTTTCATTATGTATTAATCTGCTGATTATTTTCTCCATTAAAAGATTGCAACGATTTTGAAAGTAGTGAGAAATGTTGTCACAAAGTTTTGCAAAACTCTTTACTGCATTTGGATAGTAACGTTAGCCTACTCACCACTGCAAATCAATGAAGTGGGGTAAAACCATAGACTGTTTATAAGGGTAAAACAAACAATGTGTATTTCTGTATTGCAGTGGTGCATAAAGTGAAATGAAAATACTTCAGTAAAGTAACTCAACTGTGTGCTGTATTGTATTTGTTTAGTACTTCAGTAAAAGTACTTATCAGCCTTCCTCCTGTACTGCTCAGCGTTGTGCTGTGCGTTTTCCTGCGGGCTGTTAACGCGCACACAGTCCCTAAACACTGTCGGTCGCCTTCTGCAAGTGGGCAGAGCAAATACAGCGGCTCGTGCGCTGTGGCTAGAAATCAGGAATCTCATCTTCGCAGTCTGCTCAACACCTCGTCGTCTCCGCACGCTCTCTCCCTGGATTTTCGAAGTCTGAACACCGCCGACAGAAACCACAAAAGAACAGGTAAGCCCCTTCCTGTCAGCGTTCACAGCCCCGGAGCCCGTTTATTCTGCTCCAGGAAACACTGCTGGAAGACGCGGCGCAGCGTTTTAGCCGTGTGTGCTCGGGGGTGGGCGACTTGTCATTGCGGCGGTGCGTGTTTTGTTGTGAAATGAGTGGTGCGGGGTCGACCGAGGCAGACAGCTATTAGCCGTCTCGAGCCTCAATAGAGCTAATGTAGCCAGAAACTGCGTGTGAGTGCGGTTAGCCACGTTAAAGCTGAAGAGCTAACGTAAACGCTAGCTGGGGTTTTTGTGTGTGTGTAACGTTACAGTTTGGGAATCAGAGCCATAATCGCCGCAGCGCGCAGGGGGTCCCATTGTTATTACACAGCAGGCTTAGCTAGCTTATAAAAGAAGTGATAGTAACACAGTGCGATAATGTACTAGACTGTACACACACAGGGTGCCCTCTGCATTGTAGGTCTCGAACAAGTTGTTTGAGAATAACCCAGCTCCTCGCGGTTAAGGTGCATATTTACAGTTAAGTTACAGCAGTGCTTCGTCAGTGATGCCCCTCCGAGCTAACGTTAAGTGGTTATAATGACTCCCCCCTGCATGTAAATGTGTCCGATGTTCACCAAGCAGATAACATTTACAGCTTTCACTCAAGTGAAGACGACACTCTTCACACTGTTGCACTTTTCTTAAAACAGTTGTGACAGACACAGCAGGAACCAGGTAACAACGTTATGTCACCTTCACTAGCTAAGGAGAAATATTTGCTTGTGATTTTGTTGAACCTCCGGAGATGATGTGACAGTTCGTCATGTTAATGATTGCCCTGTAGGCCCATTGTGTCGTCTTTGAAAATGCAAAGCTGGGGGTAGGACCTGTATTTACGGCTCTTCTGTATACCTGTCTTTAGGCTAGGTTGAAAATTGAAGTTCACCGGAGTCACACGATTAGTTATGGCAGAGCTGCCGGTCAGGATTATTGTGTGCCTTTTTGTTGGGGTTCCAGCAAGATTAGATTAAAAAACCTAAAAAGTGAAACCAGTCAGACCTATGGGGAGACCGAGGAGCTTGATTTCTCGGCTCTGTAATAGGCCACTCTGGCTCATTGCTGAAGCACTTAGCTCACCAGTGCAGTCCAGTAATTTTCAGTGTAATCAGGTTATGGCACGCTGATTTGATTATACAAGATGTATCGTGTGTCCTTATCATGCAGGCTGCAAATGTGATTGTGTGTACTTTCAACAAGGAGCTTGTCCCTACGTCTTCCAAGGGTGCTTGTGGGATAGTTTTGGTGGGTGGGCGATCAGCAGCAAAGACTTCAGGACAAATGTGTCTCCTGGTACAGTCAGTGTGACCCAGCAAAAACGTCCCTCCCCCCTTGCTTATGATTCTTGACTGTAGGCTGGCAGCTAATGCTGAGCGTAGTGACCATCCCGAGGTGAGCTGCCCCTGGCTTTATAAAGAGCTCTTTCAGCCACCTTTTTTCAGGAGCCCTTGGGATTATAAATACTGAGGAAAAGGAGCTTTGCTTTGGTGGCAGTAAATGGTTGGAGGGGGTGTGTGTGTTGGTGGCAGAGGCAGTGGAGGGATGGATTGAAGATGGGGGGGGGGGGGTCTGGAAGAACTGTGGTGATGGATACCACACAGTGAAGTGGGACACTTGGCCTTTCTGTGATTAAAGGGCTTCTGTTCTCTTAGCACAAACACACACATCTCTCTTACTTGGGGTCAGACTGAGGTATAAAATCTGCCTTTTGGAATCCGTTTGTGCCGTGTTTGCACGTTAGCCAAGAAAAAAAAAAAATAAAAAAACTCCTACCAGGCACTCCGCTCTGAAGCGGCTCTTTCCCATCATGCAACTCGCACTCACTTCTTTACAGTCGGCCTACAGTGTTTGGAGCGCTGCAGTTCCAAAGCTCTCATTTATTTGTGCTGCACATCTGAGCGGTAGAGAAATGTTCTTTGGTTGGGAGGGTCACAAAACCTGCAGTAAATCCTCTTGAAAAGCTGTTTTCACATCCAAGGTAATAACTGAAAAACTGAAGAGGTAATGAAAGGGAGATTAGGGATTTCCTAAAGGCCTTTACTGTAACCTTGAACTTCAATCACGTCCTCGTTTTCATGCCTTGTTTTTGTCTCATTGACTGAAAGATTTCACTCGTGTGTGGATCATTGAGCTGTGAGCTGCTGTTACAAATTTAACTGTGTATAAATGTCAATAGGGTGGGAGACATATGAATTTGTTCCCTTTTTTTTGCTACCTAGCCGCTGTTTCCAATCACTTGTCAAACCTAGAATACTGGAATAATATAAACCCGCTGTCACAGAAACCTCAGCTTTTTTTGGGATTTAATATAGTATAGTTGTGTTAGCTGAAAATATTTTATGGGAAGGAAGTTCCACGTCTTCCTGCAAGCAATAGAGCTGCACTTCCTAGGCACCCGTGCTTGGGACATGTTCGGGGTGGTCCTGTCTCCTCCCACTCGTCTCATGGCATGTTGTGGCAGGTTAAAAACTGGCGGAAAGTGACGCCTTAGCAATGTTTGTTTGGCTTTTGTAGATTGCTTTTTATAAAGTGTTTTTTAACAAGTTTGTCTATTGCGAACAGCTTAAAAGCAATAAAGGCCAATTGAAACCACTGTATCAGAAGTAAGCAAGAAGTCTCAGGGTCAAAAATCCACTGTAAAGAGCACTATCTGTAAAGTCTGTGTTGTAGTTTCTGAGTATTAACTGGGTGTGTTTGTCATTACTCTTTCCTAGAAATGATTTATTACTTTATTGTAAATATAAAGAGCCATCTCTTAAGACACCAACCTGTCCTGTCTGTTGCTTCCTTTTTGTCAAATGTCTTTAGGTTGTGTTTTTGTATTCTGCATGTCTCCATATTCTGCTCAGTACAAACAAGGGCTGCCTGTCCTCAAAAGTAAGGCAGCTAGATGCAGTACAATTTCAAAAGAGGAATTAAAAAGAAGATTTTTGGGTCACCTCCTTCTTGGCATCCTTTTCCATGAAGATGCTGATGCTATTCCTTTCATGAAGACAGTCAAGAGTTCATTCATTCTTACCACTGTTGTAGAAACTGCAGTTTTTTTGGGCACTCTCTGTGTTTAAGATGTCCAGGAACTCAGCTCGATCACGTGGTCACAATTGATTCGTTTTGGGCTCCCAGGGTGGAGCTGGACTTCCTCTTATTTGGAGGTCAAGGTCGTGTGCTATGCGTTAGTGAGTGACGAGTCCAGGAGTGGAGTGAGGAAGTGTCACGAGCCCTCTCCCTGTAATGATAACACAATGTTGCATCATAGGATTCTGTGATGAACACCATTGGCTTTTTATCTGATCGTACTAAAGATAAGATTAATTAACACACAGAACTATTTATATACGTTTTCAGTGAGTCTTTATGACTTTGAATTCCTTTACGTTTAAAGGGTAGCAATTGGGGCAACATTTTTTGAAATTGGACCAGTACTGAGCGAGCACGCTGCAGTCGGCAGAAGCGAAAACAGGGCTGCAAATTAATCCTTTCGACAATAGACGTCCATTAAAGTGCTTGTTTTTGCCACTGACAGTCTTATGGAAAGGATCCCTACAGAGAGAGACCTTTTTTTTTTTTCTTTTTTTTAAGGAGTAAGACCCTTTTTGTCTAACCAGAAACAGTTGCTCTTGTCAAACCCACCAGACTCCATTGACAAAAACAGTAATTTTTAACCTCCTTCTGTGTAGCGCTGCCTCGATCAGTTAGTTTGCGTGATTGTGTGACAGTTTTAACCCTTAAAAACACCAAAGTCAGACAATTACACAAACAAACAAACACACACCGCGGTTGAAAAATTTGAAAGTCACCCTTTAATGGTGCATTTCTAGCATGCAATAAACTTGACTACAAACAAAGGAAGTATATGTCTGCTGTGAGTGGTCGCACCCTGTTGCGTTATTTTCAGACAGACCAACTCAGCAAAGCTGAAACAAGTTTCCTGCATAGACGTCCACAAAGTCATTTTAATTCCCAGTGGCACTCTTATCAGACAGACTGAGGTTTAGTGGCGCGAGAAGCAGAGAACGCGATAGCGAAGTAGCCGTGATGACATTTGATTTGAATGCTCAACAAAAGGACAGGTTTTGTCAGCTGACAAAGGAATGTGTGTTTGTGTGTGTGTGTGTGTGTGTGTGTATTTTGAGATTTGTGTCTCATGTAAATATGTTTGTGCTCATTGTGATGAGGGTTTTACTTCCTTTAGTGTTGCGTGGCTCTGGTGCATCACCTTCCTTCCTTATAATCGAGCTTACTGGAAGCCTGGCCAACCACAAAAATAATTTGCTCAGATTTAGGTTTATTTATGAAAGATTGTTGCAACCAGGAAGATTATTTTGTCTCTTGAAAAATCCATGTGAATGTGTTTATAATGTTTAACATATAGCACAAACCTTAAAACTTGTACCGTTGAATCACATTTTGAGCCCCTCAGTGACTCAGTAAACAACACATAAACAATGATCTGGGAGCCTCTCACATTTTAAATGAACTTCCTGAACTTAGCTGCAGGGAAAGCCGCTGTCAAACCATGGTGTTAGCTCGTGATATTGAGTTACGAGCTGGATTCACACCAGTAAGGTGGTGACGCTGCAGTGGGGCCTGTTTCTCTCGAGGCCCTAATGAATAATTAAGAGGCGGGGCTTATGTGAAGAAGCCCATTAAGATGCAGAGTCACACCGGTCTCCTTGGTAGCAGGGCCATATTATCAGGATCACGTCTCCTTTGGCCCGGGCAGCAGGCAAACTAGCACAGTCTTCGTCTGGGAGAGCTGAGATGTTGACTGGAATGAGCAATTCTTACCCTCCTAGATGAGTTTTTGAAACCATACTTGAAAATAATGCCACGACTGGAGTCTCTGAATGGACGGCTGTCGCAGTCACAGTAAGAGGAAGAGGCGGGCTAAGTTAGACACCAGGACACCTTGAATCCTATTTATTATTATTTTAAGTATGATCTTTTTTATTTAGAAAAATG